TCCATCAGGTAATCATGGAACACCGGATTTCGAGCTGCTCCTTCCGGATTTTCCTGAGCATCAGACTGTAGACTTTCTGTAAGTGAAATCCGGTTCTGGGCTTCTAGAGGGAGCTCTTCCTGCTGTCGAAGCAAGAGCTCTACCCGAGGACATGTAGAAGCTTCGACGTGTTTGCGCAGAGAGAACACTGTTCGGAATGTTGCTCTACAGGCGATGCAAGTTGCTGACCCTGGCATTGAATGCAAAATAGGGTCAAATCTGGGTCCTTTCAAGCTTTGCTGCGAATCTGGGTGGGCCTTCTGCAGGTGGCGACGGAGTGCCCCGGTACCAGAGAGACATGCTCCACACTCGCCGCAGGTCAGGATCTTATCCTCTACTGATTGCGAGGAGAAGTCAATGGCAAGGCCTTCCAGAGCCTGGCTGATTGCCTCAGCGCGCAGCTTGTAGTGTGGGAGGAGCTGAGGATCTGAGTGTTGCTGTCTCTTAATGAACTGTGTAAGCCTCTTTTGCAGCTGCTCCTTCACGTGAGGAATCCGTACTCTCCGGAGTAACTCCTGGTTGGATTCCTTCGTTTCCTGGGAGTAGCTCCGCAGGACAAACCGAAGTTGGTACATCATGTGTGAATGGAGCTTCTGCAATCCCTGCTGTGTCAGTCCTACCACGTGAAGGGCATACAGAGCAGAGGCCCACGCAGTTATTGTCCAAATTGACAGACGACGTCTGTCTGATAGGACTCGATGGTTCCTAACTGCATGGGCGACTTCTGACATTGCTAGCTTACTGGATGACAGCCGATGTTTAAGGGTCTTCATTTCATAGTCATGATAAGAAAGAATGACCCCCAGGTATGGGACCTGGTACCGCAGCGATATCAACTTGCCCGAAGGGAGTTCCACAAACTTCTCTCCATCTACCTGGCGAAATAGCTTTTTCCTAATTGTCGAGGCTGAACCTCCTTGTAGCTGCAGCAGTATTGCTGACTTGGACGGATTGACCTTGAACCCAAGTTCAACCAATTGATCCAGAAGAAGGTCGCAGTACCCTAGTGCTGTAATGAGGCCAGACTCAGACTCGAAATGCGACTGAATCAAGCTGTCATCCGCATACATGGTGAGAAGTTTAACTAGTTCGGGGGGGCTGATTTTTCCAGAGAGCTTCCTAAAGAGAAGCCCGGATGCAAAGGCGAATAGGGAAGGTGCAAGCTTGCATCCCTGCTTGATTCCCCTGCGTGTGGCTATCTCAAAGCTCTGATCGCTGGCTGTCATCTTGTACAAGGCTTTGATGTGGAGATGGCCCACCACCTCTATAAGAAGAGGGTCTGCTTGTTCAGCTTCCAGGGCTTCTCTTAATCGTAGCCTGTCCACAGTGTCAAAAGCTTTGCTCATGTCAACGCTCATCGTGAGACTGCCCCTGAGCTTAAGCCCCTGTTGTCCCTTACCAGCCGCTCTAGTTGTAAGGGCCTGCCTGAACCTGGCCTGATCCACATGTGTGAGGGCCTTACAGATCGCCTCCTCTGTGCCCCTACCTGGTACGAAGCCAAACTGAGAGACTCCTTGCATTGCTTGATGGAGGGTGGACTTGAGTCTCTGCCTCACAAGTCCTGCCAGGACCTTGCCCTCAGGTGCTATCACCCCGATCGGACGGAGTGATGTTGGCTTATCTGGCTTCTTGGGGGGCTTTGGGAGCCAAGAGATCTGTGACGAGGTGACGCTGTCCGAAAGCCTTCCTGCAGTGACCTCCCTATTGAGAGTGTCCGAAATAAGCCGAATAGCGTTGGGGCCTAGGGAGCGCCAAGCTACTATGGGAGGACTTTCTTTAGGAACTGCTTTGCCAAGCTTTATAGTGCCTAGCTGTTCTTGAACTTCTTGCTCGGTGATGTGCAGGCTGCCTTGTATCCCTGTGAGCGGGAAGTCGTCCCCTGCTCCAAACAGTTCAATGGAGTATTCCTCTAATTGTCTACGTTCTTCCTTGGCTGTTAGGAAGCGACCCTCTGAGTCACGTAGCTGAACTCTTTCCTGAGGCCTCCCCGACCGGAAGCGCTTGATCACCTTGTAGAGGGAATGACTCCCGTCTTGCTTGGATTTAAGCTCTGCCTGCTCGAGTTGTTCATCTATTTCCTGTCGTCGCCTTTCCTGCTTCTGACGCTTTGCTACCCTCGCCTGTGCACTTTGCTGAGACAGCGACAGCCAGCAGCGAAATACCATTCGGACCTGCAACTCCGGCAAGAACTCTGCTAAGACCTTGACTGACATTGGGAGTGAGCGCAACACTGTGCGCTCTGCCCAAATGCTGAGATCTGTTCTTTGTGCTGCTCCCTTTCTCTTGGGAAAGTGAGTCGCGAGGGCTGAGTTCATTGCTTGATGGAGACTCTGCCAGGTTTGGGGATGATCCTGAAGGAGGGAGTCTACCTCCCTGGCAAATGCCTGTATTTTCGGGGAACGGTGTCTGTAGCAGTCCTCCATTGCCTGCTGGTCATAGGGTTTTGAGGCTTGGGCGGAGTATCTCCTGCTGTGCCTCAGTTTACCAAGAAGGGGGAAATGCCTACTACCATCCCTCCAGGATGCCACTGGGAAGGTCCTTAGTGGCCGGCAAAACCTGGCAGGGCCTTGGGACTGTGCAATCCTGACAAACGAGAAGTCAATCTGTGAAACAGAGTTGCCTTGTTCGTGGGTGGCTGGTCTATGCACTCCCCAAGTGTTGGTTGCGACTAGCTGGTGCTCCGACAGTAGGGTCTGGAGATCCTTAGATCCGCGATGCCCGAGTCTGCAAGCCTGGATCGTGCATGGCCCTACGTGTTTGTTGTCGGTTTTGAGCGAGGAGTTAAAATCTCCTAGCACAAGGAGAGTGTTGCGATTGGGAACAGCTCGGATGGACTTACTTAGGGCGTGAAGGGTCTGCTTCCGGGTTTCCTTATTCTGAGCGACAGTCTCCTTAGAGCGCCAAACGTATTGATAGCAGCTGAAGACGTCCAGTGAGATGCCGTTGCTCGGCACCCGGACCTGGAGAACTCTTCCTGGAACAACCTCGTTGTAGCGAAGATCCTGTGACTTGCACAGCGTGGAGTGCACCATTATGAGGACCCCGGCTCCCTTCTCCCCTGTGGAGCCAGAGCTGATCACGTGCCAACCTGACTTGCTGAATTGCCATGAGCCCCTCCAGTGTGTTTCCTGAATTGCTACCAGCTTCACATCCTGAAATGCTGCACTTTGCAGTACGGAGAGTAACTCTTCCCAAACTGCTGTTGTGAGAGATCCTGCGTTCCAGGATAGATAGCTGAGATTCTTATCTTCTGTAAATTTTGAAGGCCGAGTCCTTCTGCCGGGATTGGTGGGCTTTACATGTGCCGGAGCAACTCCAAGCTCTGTTGACGACATCGTCCTTCCCTTGTAGACCGCACTACCTTCAAGCAGAGCTTTACGTGCTGCCCTTTGATAAGAGCGTTTACCCTTCCCTTTAGGAACGGGCTGATGCTTGGTCGAACCACTAGGCTGTTTCGCAGCACTCATGTTGAGTACGGCTCCTGTCGGCTTCGCAATACCGACAACCCTCACCTCTGGGAGATGTTAGAGAGCTGTAGATCTAATACTCCCTCCCGGACTTGGGACCGGGACTGCTCAGGCGCTGACAAATGCCATGGCAAGAAAGGAAAAAGGCAACTGTACTAGCCTGACCTTTCCTGAGCCGAGAGGCTTACCAACAGCAACAGCAACAGCAACAACAACAACAGCGACAGCAACAGCAACAACACAGTGGCTATGGTGTAAAGTGTATAAGGTTTGAACGGTTTGCATAGGATTTTTCAATACTTTCAGCGTATTTCCATGGATTTTGTGTGTATTTGCATGGATTTGGTGTGTATTTGCAAGGACTTGGTGCGTGTTTGCAAGGATTTGGTGTGTACTGTATTTGCAAGTATGTTGTGTGTGTTTACATGGAGTTTGTGCGTGTTTGCAAGGATTTTGTGTTGTTTCTATGGATTTTTAAGTGTTTCCAAGGACTTCTTACGTATTTCCGTTGATTTTGTATTTGCAAGGTTTCTGCGGATCTTGCATGTGTGTCCGTGGATGTGTGTCCGTGGATTTTGCGTGGTTTTGAGAAGATTTTGTGTGCGCATGTCCAAAGCATCAGACGTGGATCTGAGGGCCTGGGACCAAAGTCAAAGCGGCAGACGTGGATCAAGCCCTTCACCATCACATAAAACCCGTCAATCTCCCCTCAAATCCTGTAAAAATCGCTCGATATCTAGTGACTAGTGCAAACCCTTCAACATTCCAGACCAGCCCTTTCAAAACCCATGAGAACCCCTTCTGGATTTCGGAGAGTCCCATACCCGTGGCGGAGATGTGGTCTAATGTGGGCGGTTGTTGGAAAGGGGGGGTGCAAAACCAACAGACGGGGCTCCAGTTTTTGTCTCTACCACAGGGTAGAGACAAAGTCCTGGTTTCAATGGGGCCTTTGTCTCTACCCTGTGGTAGAGACAAAAATTTTCAGCCCCGTCTGTTGTTTTGACCCCCCCCCCCTTAACAACAACCATCCAGCCTACACCGCATTTGCATCATGTGGCAGATGTTTTGTAAACCGTGGCTTGCATTCCCCAAAACTCTATAGACACCCTATGCGGTCGCCGGAATCATTCCCAAGTGCTTCCAATCAACAACAATTGCGGGCTGCTGCTTTTCTCTGTACCAACAACAACAACCACAACCACAACCACATACGCAGCCGTAGCGACAGCCACAGCCGCAGCCGCAACTGCAGCCACCTCCACCACCACAACAACAAGAGAACAACCACCACAAAAATAACCACAACCCCAACCAGCAGGATACCAACAAGGCAGTCGCACTTTGCATTTGCACCGCCGCAGAACTTGGACGAAGCTTCGAAACATGGGCTTCTGAAACATGATCTCGTCCGGTAAACATTTCCATGAAAGCCCACATCAATCATGGGCAGAGATCGGCCGTGCCAAACATTCATGAACCCCAAGTGAAAAACACCTCCTCGGCACGGCGTTTCTTCTCGGCCTCACGCGCTCTTGGCAATTTGTAGAAATTTTGGGAATCGGTATCTGTGTCTTCTACGTAGCTTACAGTTTTGGGCTTACGAAGTAGATTTGGAATCTGCAGAATCTCATCTAAAAATCAACCCCGAGATTATGGCCCGTTTACACTTCCGAGTTGGGTAGTTGGAGTTTGCAGGGTCTGGTTTCGGGTTTGGGCTCTAGGATTTCAGGTTAGGATTTAAGATTTGGGATTTCGGGTTTAATTAGGGCTTGGAAGCTAGTTTAGAGTTTAGGACATGCTACTTTGGCGGGATTCGAAGAGTTTGACTGCGATTGGGGTAACCTTGCTGGCCCTTGTGATAGCTTCTGCTTGTACCAACGGTTTACGTGAGAGCTTACAAAACCCACATCCAAGGATCCTGAATGCAAGACCTCACAGAAAAGGATTCACGACCGCAAATAGTGCGTCACCCTAATCCCTCCACCCCCACTCCCAAAACCCCGTCTGCCAAGTTCGTCTTTGGGCCTTCTAGTTTACATGGGATCGTCACTAACCCACTAACCCCTAGGCCCGGAATCCTTGTTTACATGGGATCGTGGCCTCTTCGGCGGCCCGCCTTGTCTCGGCCTGGAGGAGTCCAAATTCGGGCTTTTTGCGTTGGGCTTACGGGGTTTCATAGGGTTTTTAACACTGGCATTGGGTTGTTGTTTACATGGTTTTTCGATGGGTTTATAAGGCTCTTTAGAGCTATAGCGCGTCTGGGTGCACTGAAGTTCTTCCATCAGTTTTCCCCAAACAGCATGGCAACACTACTCATGGGGTTCTTGCGTTCAAAGTCGCGGCGTGCGCGGAAAAATTGCTACTGTCTGCCGCTGTGGTCTGTTGCATACTTTTCGCTGGAATCCGGTGGTATGTGGAGGGTTCCCCTCAAGCACGTGCTCCAGGGCCAGGATTCATTGTGAACAATACTAGATGGACCACTTTGGCTTTCGAAAACCTTGAATCGCAGCGGTAGTTGTAGGAAACGACCGGGGGTGCCTGCTCCCATGGAAAGCAGTTTCGCAAGGGCCCTTGAGCCGCCAGTACTTGAGGGGAAAGGATGTCCGCGGACGCTCTCGGATGTTTCTGAATCCGGAGACTAGGTGGGGGAAGCCTTCGGGGAGGTAGTTCTGAATGCACCAGTACTCGGCGGAAAGTATCTTGGCAGTGTTCTGGTTGTCTGCTGGTGCTGTCCTGCTGGTCTCTTGCTGGTCCCCTGCTCGTCCCCTAGTGGTCTCCTTGCCCTCCTGCTGGTCTGTGGTCTGTGGCTGGTCTCCTGCCGGGTTGTCGCCCTGGTCGCAGTGCTCGTTGTCGATGGTCTTCGGATGATCTCATGGTGTTCTCCGGATGGTGGGTCCTCTGATGATCTCCTGATGTCATGGCGGTCTCTTAGTTGTCTCCTGCTGGTCTGTCGGCAGTCTCCTTGCAGGGTTGCAGGCGTATTCTTTGCGTTCGTACATTGAGGTTCCGCTGTCCGGAAGTCCGGAACCTCCCACTAGGGGGTTTAGGGTTTAAGGTTTTGGGGGTCAGTCTAGGGTTTACAGCAGGGTTTGGGGGTTACGAACATACAAAGCCCCACATCCTCGAAGTTGCTTGCCATGGAAGGGTTCAAAGGTGGAGTTCCCGTTTCGGGATACGGGTTATAAGACGGGTGCCTGATGAAGCTACTCAGCAAAGTAAGCTTGAAAAGGCATTCAAAGGTCAGGATGCTCCAGCTCCCAAACATTCAACAACGCAATCTGGACCCAGTCCTTGAACCCACCACCTCCTGAAGCCTAGACGATAGGCCCGAAAGTCTGAACCCAAACATACGCCACCCGACGAAGCAAGCCGTGCCTCGGCCTCCTCTTCGGCCCGTCTTTTCTCCTCCTGACCCCGATACCCCTAAACCCGAACCCCTAACCCTAAACCCAAAACCCTAAGCCCTAAACCCCTAACCCAAAACCTTGAAACCCTAAACCCCTAAACCGTAAAACCAAACTAAACTCCGGAGGATGTAAAGGCTGATGCAGGCCCGGAGCCTGGAGGCCTCAAGGTTTCGGATTCACGGTTTAGGTTTGGGTTTTGAGTGTTTTAGGGTTCAGCGTTTAGGGTTCAGGGTGTAAGGCTAAGGGTTTGGGTTTTGAGTGTTTTAGGGTTCAGGGTTTAGGGTTTAGGGTTTGGGTTTTGAGTGCTTTAGGGTTCAGGGTTTAGGGTTCAGGGTATGTATATATATATATATGCATATAAATACCGGACAAGTAAACGATAAAAGTCAATAGAATCTATTCGTACAAAGAAATATATCTCACGTCATAAAGAAATACTATGTTGCAAATGTAGTCGGTGAAGTAGTCCAAACACTTGTTTCGCGTAGTCCTATTTGCAGTCTTAATCGACGAACCCGAGATTATTACAACATCTAGGTTCGAAATCGCGGCACGTAAAATGCAGAAACGTTCCTAGAACCCGTAGAAGTATAGTTGTATCTATATATATATATATATATATGTATAATTAAAGTAAACCATGTATACATACTATATATCTATGTGTATGTGTTTCTATGTATATATATATATATATATTATATGTGTACATACACCTCATACAAAAATCCCAAATACAACTACACCTTATGCACTACATGTTGGTGCGTCGTGAATGCTTGTGGGATAAACTGAACACGCATCGTCAATGTTGAAACTTCTTTATTCTGCACAAATCAAAAACCTTCTTACCAAAAACCTCTTGCTTTTATAATCCCGGTGCCGGTCGCTCAAGTGGTCCGTCAATCACCGCGCTGACCTCAGTTGCGCATGGTTCGTCAACCAGCTTCGACTTCGCTCGAATCGAGGACCCCACGTTTCGGCGGTTTCATATGCTGGTAGATCAGCTCGTGCGGGGTGAACTGCTTGGTGAGAAGGTTCCTGAGCGACGAGGCGTGAAGACAGTACTTATCGCGAGCCCAAGGCCCTGGCGGATCCAGCCCAATAACGTCGCAGTAATACTCCAGCTTCCTGCCAAGCGCGGTTGCGAAAAAAAACGATACGAAGCTAAGCAACCGAACCGGGCCTGATACGGAAGTCCATGACGAGCTGCATAGGCACCACGAAATGATCACTGCTAGTAGTCGGCCAGTCGCGAACCTCAAACAACTACGTATGTGCTCGTTCGATGCCGGTGGAATCCTGCCTTGGTGTACTCGGTATAGATGAAGTCTCCTGGCGATAAGATTGGGGGAAAAAATTAGTTGACATTGATCGCGAAAACCAAGCCTTCGGCGAGGCTGTTCAAGAACTTGATCTCGCGATCGTACACCTGCCGACGGAGTCTTTCGGGAATCATTCATCTAACTTACTATGCTCCAGCCTGGTTCGCGATTTTGAAGCTCCACCACTTCGGAAATCTGAGTTCAGATGAACATAAGTCTGAACGGAAGCAGTAGTTCAGTAGTTTTTCTTATCTGAGGCGGCGACTCAAAGGTAGGCTCATTGTCCACGGCAGGCGGGAGCACCGGCATCGCAAAGATAGGACTTGACCAAGGAACAAGTTGGCATCAGAAGCTTGCAGAGGTGCTCTCAGTTCGTGGCCGGGCAGGACGGCCATGCTCGCAGCGACCTGACAGGATGCAAGCGAACATTTAGTTCTACAAAACTATTTTCCGAGGATGTCACGCCAAGAAGGATGAAGACGAATGCAGGACTGTTTAGGGTTTAGGGTTTGGGTTTTGAGTGTTTTAGGGTTCAGGGTTTAGGGTATAGGGTTTGGGTTTTGAGTGTTTTAGGGTTCAGGGTTTAGGGTTTAGGGTTTGGGTTTTGAGTTTTAGGGTTCAGGGTTTAGGGTTCAGGGTGTAGGGTTAAGGGTTTGGGTTTTGAGTGTTTTAGGGTTCAGGGTTTAGGGTTTAGGGTTTGCGTTTTGAGTGTTTTAGGGTTCAGGGTTTAGGGTTTAGGGTTTGGGTTTTGAATGTTTTAGTGTTCAGGGTTTAGGGTTCAGGGTTTAGGGTATAGGGTTTGGGTTTTGAGTGTTTTAGGGTTCAGGGTTTTAGGGTTTAGGGTTTGGGTTTTGAGTGTTTTAGGGTTCAGGGTGTAGGGTTTAGGGTTTGGGTTTTGAGTGTTTTAGGGTTCAGGGTTTAGGGTTCAGGGTGTAGGGTTTAGGGTTTGGGTTTTGAGTGTTTCAGGGTTCAGGGTTTAGGGTTCGGGTTTTGAGTGCTTTAGGTTTTGGGGTTTTGAGTGTTTTAGGGTTCAGGGTGTAGGGTTTAGGGTTTGGGTTTTGAGTGTTTTAGGGTTCATGGAAATTGTATAGGGTTTGGGTCCGGGGTTTTGACCGAAAGTTTTGGTTTCTGCTTGGCTAGGCTGGGCCTGGGAGCATTGGGGAGGGGCTGGGTCCGGGTTTTGACTGACAGTTTTGAGCGAAACGTTTTGAGCGAAAGTTTTGCGAAAGTTTTGGGCGAAAGTTTTGGGCGAAAGTTTTGAGCGAAAGTGTTGGGAGGGTTATGTTTTTTGACTTGAAGTTTTCGTTTTGGGAGTTGCGGGCTGGGGGCCGAGCTGGCTGGTGGGGGCTGGGGCTGGGCTGGGGGGCTGGGTGGGCTGGGCGGGTCGGCTGCTGGGCTGGGCTGCTGTGGCTGGCTTGGGCTGGATTTTGGTTGGACACGTTTAATGAAAATTTGAAACTAATGCAAATGCAGTTCGAAACGAAAATCACACAATTTCTATGTATCCTGCTCTTGAGGGTTTAGGGTTCAGGGTGTAGGGTTTAGGGTTTGGGATTTGAGTGTTTTAGGGTTCAGGGTTTAGGGTTCAGGCTGTAGGGTTTAGGGTTTGGGTTTTGAGTGTTTTAGGGTTCAGGGTCCAGGGTTCAGGGTTTAGGGTTTAGGGTTTGGGTTTTGAGTGTTTCAGGGTTCAGGGTTTAGGGTTCAGGGTGTAGGGTTTAGGGTTTGGGTTTTGAGTGTTTTAGGGTTCAGGGTTTAGGGTTTGGGTTTTGAGTGTTTTAGGGTTCAGGGTTTAGGGTTCAGGGTGTAGGGTTTAGGGTTTGGGTTTTGAGTGTTTTAGGGTTCATAGAAATTGTATAGGGTTTGGGTCCGGGGTTTTGACCGAACGTTTTGGTTTTTAACTTGTGATTTCGCATTCTGTTTGGCTAGGCTGGGCCTGGGAGCATTGGGCCGGGGCTGGGTCCGGGTTTTGACCGAAAGTTTTGAGCGAAACGTTTTGAGCGAAAGTTTTGGTTTGTGACTTGTGATTTGGCATTCCTGGGTTTTGACCGAAAGTTTTGGGCGAAAGTTTTGAGCGAAAGTTTTGGGAGGGTTTTGACTTGGCTGGGGGGCTGGGTGGGCTGGGCGGGTCGGCTGCTGGGCTGGGCTGCTGTGGCTGGCTTGGGCTGGATTTTGGATGGACACGTTTAATGAAAATTTGAATCTAATGCAAATGCAGTTCGAAACGAAAATCACACAATTTCTATTTATCCTGCTCTTGAGGGTTTAGGGTTCAGGGTTTAGGGTTTAGGGTTTGGGTTTTGAGTGCTTTAGGTTTTGGGGTTTTGAGTGTTTTAGGGTTCAGGGTTTAGGGTTCAGGGTGTAGGGTTTAGGGTTTGGGATTTGGGTGTTTAGGGTTCAGGGTTTAGGGTTCAGGGTGTGGGGTTTAGGGTTCGGGTTTTGAGTGTTTTAGGGTTCAGGGTTTAGGGTTCAGGGTTTATGGTGTAGGGTTTGGGTTTTGAGTGTTTTAGGGTTCAAGGTTGAGGGTTTAGGGTTTGGGTTTTGAGTGTTTTAGGGTTCAGGGTTTAGGGTTCAGGGTGTAGGGTTTAGGGTTTGGGTTTTGAGTGTTTTAGGGTTCAGGGTGTAGTGTTCAGGGTGTAGGGTTTAGGGTTTGGGTTTTGAGCGTTTTAGGGTTCAGGGTTTAGGGTTCAGGGTTCAGGGTTTAGGGTTTGGGTTTTGAGTGTTTTAGGGTTCAGGGTTTAGGGTTCAGGGTTCGGTTTAGGGTAAAGGGTTTACGTTTTGAGTGGTTTAGGGTCCTTTTTTTTAAAGTGCATCGGACCTTTTCTGTAGCAGCAGGGCCTGCCTCATAGAGGCTTGCGCATCGTCAAACAAAGGGTTCAGGGTTTGGGGTTTAGGGCTTGGGAACAGCCACAATCACATCAACCCCTCGTCCCGCTCACAAGTAGCATTGCTACGAACGAACACTTGCAATTGAAGTGTTCACTTATGGCCCAAATGAAATGGATGATCCATTCGCCCCGCTAGAGCCGTAGAACCCGAAAACCTCTCTTCCGGACGGTTCGACTTCCGTGCTCTTTTGGGGTCTAGGGGTTTGAACTAAAACTCTATAATGCCTGAATCCCGCGAAACGCGCTCAGGGCTGCCCTCAATTCGACCAAAATGAATCGCCTGCCGGATACCCCAAATACCAAACACCCGCATCCCTAACCACCAATCCCCCAACATCGAAAAATAAAACCAATCCCGGCCTAAGACGCAGCCCAAAAACAAACTTTGCCTTAACCTCTATACAAAATCCGGATCCAAAACCCCAAACACTAACTCTAGAAACCTAAACCCCGAAACCTAAGGCCCCAACCCCAAACTCTACCGAGCCAAATCCCTGCACTCAAAAACCAAAACCCACCCAACAACCCAAATCAGGACCACCTCGGCTTGTTTCTGTCGGCGCCGTTCAGCCTCCCCAGTACGGCTTGGAGATTGCTGCTTCTTCGGGCTTAGGGGTTTTAATGCTTAGGGCTTAGGGGTTTCGGGGTTTAGGGGATTAGGGGTTTAGGGGTTTAGGGTTTAGGGTTTAGGGTTTAGGGGCTTAGGCTTTGGAGGTGAGGTGACGCATTCTGGTTTAGGGCTAAAGCCGCGATGGGGCTTAATGCGCTGAAGGCACGAGCCTAGCAGCTGGAGCCGGGTGTTCAGGGCTTCGGGTTTCGATTTTGAAAACTTCTCATGCCTAGCATTTCGAGTTAGTCGGTGGTGATCCGCCGATCCTTACACAGGGACCTCAAGGGTTGTAATGGTGTTCCTTTTTAAGAGCTCCTCTAAAGGGCTCGAAAGAGGGTTACTATAGGGGTTCTTGAAGCTGTATAATATAATCCTTACGAGCACTTGCAAGGAACACTCCTTGCACAACTTAACGATCCTTGCTACGGCTAAACGGCTCAATGCACATGTTTGACTCCTATCTGCGCCTCTTTAGACAACTTACCATCGGTTAGTAGGGAATGGAGGAATGGGGTATAGTATAGTTATAACTACTATTACTACCATTCTTCCATTCCCTACGAACCAAAGGTAAGAAAATGGCAGTCCTGTGAACCCGCCTGCCTCGAATCCCACGCCCGTCGCCCAGCAACTCTGATAACGACGGCGGCCCGGCGGCTCCCGACGAGGCAACAATGGAAAAAGTAGGAAGCTTTTACAAAAAAAAAAAAAAGGCTTAATGTCCTCACGGAAATTGCAGGGAGCCAGGTTTCATATTCATTTCAGACATTGGACAATCTTCATGAGGGGGAGTACGGTCTTGGGTAGTTGCCTGCATTGAGGGAATGAGGGACAATGCATCGAAAATCTGTAGTCAGGAAACAAAGTCGACCGCAATGCAAAAGAAACTCATGCTACGGAAAATGTCTGTCTTGTAAGGGGTTTAAGCAACTTCAATGCCGTGCGGCCTTCTTCTCTTCTTGCTGCCGATTCTTCGCCTGAAGTGTGATGACATTTTTCCTTTGCTGGGATTCCGTCTTTTGCGCACAGTACTGTGCAATAGCAAGCGTTGGAATCCTTCACACACACGGCAAGAACATCCATACTCACAACACCTAGAACGCTGTTTTTCACTGTAGTCATGGCCTACTCCTGGGAATCCCAACATGATCGCGTACTATCGGGGCTGAAAGTAATCGAAAGAGGTTTTGCCGGGATATGGGACTATGGCTCCAAGGACGTATAAAGGATCAGTTATCGGCTGGTATCTGGGAGTTTCCGAAAATGGGGTACCCTAATACCGTACCCAAATAGTAGGATCCTTATAATAAATACACCAAATAAGGTACCCCCCAATTTTCGGAAACTCCCATCGTGAGCATGATGTATCTGAGAAGCTGCTCACACCATACGGAGACCTGCGACCATTGGGATGCAGCTTTCCTCCCATGAGCTTGCCGGGTGTGTGTTGCAGGGGGGGGTGCAGGGAGGGGGGACGGGGGCCTTGTGGAGGCAAGGAAAGTGCAGACGGTGGGCAAAACCGACGTTGAGGGCTTCCGAGTAGCAGCTTAAAGGCAGTTTGAGGTTTGACAATATCGGCTTCATAGTTCAGGCACTGGTGACAGAGGCTTCGGCGGTGCTTTGAGTTAAGACTCACTTGACTTTTCGGTCGGAGCTCTAAACCCTCACCCTAGCCCGAAGCCCTGGACCCTAACTCCTAACGTCTTAAACCTAAACACACAAAATCTATACAAATCCCTAAACCCTAAACCCCTAAACCCGACATGTTAGGACAACGTAATGAAGCCGCTGCCGCTCCCAGCCTCGTCTAGCCTCGCAGAGATCTCCGCATTCTGGCAACAGGGCTTTGGGCTTAGGGTTTGGAGTTTACATTAAGGTTTAGGGTTTAGGGGTTTAAGGGTTTAGGGGTTTAGCAGTTTAGGGTCTAGGGTTTAGGGGTTTAGGGTTTAGAGGTTAGGGCTTAGGGGTTTAGGGGTTGGGGGGTTTAGTTTTTAAGGTTCAAACCTAGGGTTTGAGGTGGCCTTCTGTCATGCTGCCATGGGCCTTGGGCTGGGTTCCCGAGATGTCATGAGAACGGGGTGTGGAGCCAAAGTGGATCGCTGGCGCGGGTTTGGGGTTTGGGTAGCATGATGAGGGAGACCCCTTAAAGGGTACCGGGTCCCCCTAATCCTAACTCCCAGTGGAGCCAAAGTGGATCGCTGGCGCGGGTTTAGGGTTTGGGGGGAACCCGGGGAACGACATCCTGAAACGAGCCTACCTCGAAGCCCCCCAGAGCCTTCACTGTCGAGCCCTAAATCCTGACCCTCCAACAAATAGTAATACTAATCAGTATTAACAATACTATAATAGCGCTACTACGAGTACCATTACCCATAAAAGCCCTAGGCACCATGCAGCTGAGCCTTCTGGAAACTCCTCATCTTGTCCTGGAGCGCTACTGATTTGAACTTGCAACAAACAACTCGGTTTTACGGTTTACGGCTTCCAGGGCCAGCCTGGGCAACATTCCAAGTAGTACGGTATGCTTCAAAACGGCCTAAAGAATACTCCGCTAACCAAGCCACGTACTTTGAGGGTCTGGGCACGCCGCTACTCCGCGAGAGGTCTTGCTACAGGAGTGGTCGATTGGCTCCAAGATTTGGTCCTCATGGTAGCAATAGTACTCCTGAGCATATTTGTACTACGATGTACCCCAGAATTCCGTTTTTGTAATCATGAAGGCCTCTGGTGAAGGTTCAGAGCTTGCGTTTCCATTCATTGTGTACGCTCCCTGAAAATCACAGATGAAGCTCCTCAATAGCCTTATAGAGTTCTCTTAAGATCTCCTTTTAAGGTTCTAGGGCCCAGGGTCGATAGGGTATGGCTTTAGAGTATAGGGTCTACAGAGGATACGACAAAAGCTGTAAAAAAACAATAAACCCTAAACACTAAACCTCCTAAGATTCCCTACCCTCGAGCTGCCTTGGGGAGTGATAGTTTAGGTTCAGGATTTAGGTTCAGGATTTAGAGTCCGCTGCAGTGCGGTTCAGAGTGGGCTGTTTCAAGCTTTCTTCTTGGAACCAGCGCCCCGCCGATTAATTACCCATAAACCCATAAACCCATAGATTCAAGGGCTTAGGGATCATAAACCCTGAACCCTGTTTACCCAGACCCCTTCAAGACGAACAGCTGGGCTGATAGCTGTAACTCAAGCTTACAACGAGTCTCCAGCATCCGTGCTCCACTCGCTCCAGCATCCGTCCTACTGATCGATGTATTACATGATTCTACATGGCATGAAGGCACACATGTGCATATACTCATAAATTTCGCAAACGATGAACGTACAGGCGTACCCAATCAACGGCGTGCATACATGCATGCAAACCCTAAGCCCGAAGCTTTCTGTCAACATCTACAGCCTTGAGCCCCACCAGACCCCTAAACCCTGGTCCTTAACCCTGCATGCTTCCTCAAACCCCTCTGCACCCCTGAGCTCTAGACTTAACCCTTGAAGTTTGGGAATATCCTAAGAGCATCAAACGAAAACAGAGGATTTGGACGCTTCAGGTGCCACCGGGTTCCCAAGAAGCCCTTGAAGCATGCAGGCTACAATTCGGTGGTGATCGGGAGCCCCAGAAACAAAAGGGGCAACAGGCAACTACTGGGGCATGCCCAGCTTGAAGAGAGTTTCGGGTGTAGAGCGCTCAATGTTGGACAAATCCTAAAGACCCGAGCGCGGAAACCCTAACCCTAAACCCTAAATTCTGAACCCCTGAAGGCCTCTACGAAACCGGAGCCGAAATTGTCTTCAGGGAGCTGCCTCTCAACCTGATCAGATTGCAAAAAGGAGGTTTAGGGCTTAGTGTGTGTTGAGGGTTTAGGGTTAAAAGTCTTGTCCAGAAAAACCTGGCAAAAATATTTTGTGTTTTGGGATGCGGCCTGAGCTGCATGAGCGCGTCTAGGCCTAAGCCCTAGGCCCTAGAGTCTACCTGAAACTACCATAACCTACTTGTTGTAGGTTCTTACTACAAACCCCCAAAGCGCCTACAAAAACTAGGTCTTGGTGGCTCCGGCTGTGTGTTGTCATTCAGAACTCGGGCTGAGGGCTGAAAACGGTAGTTCTTCGTGAACTCTTCGGGTTCAACAGTCTCACCAGCCGCAACAGTTGAGTTCAGCGCGTTTCGGGTTAGTTTTTATGGTCAAGAGTTTTTGGCCTTCAAAGAAAACGTAAGCACTTGGTATCTATTGAAGCTCCTCTGCAAGGAGAACTGCCGTCCTTTCTGAGGCTTCCGGATATATACCGCGGAAGTCCCACATTCCTGATCGAGCTTCCAGATGCCCAAGAACCCGTGGAAGCTAAGGACCATCACCTTAAACCCTTGTGCTTAAGGACGATCACCCCATCAGAGACCTGCGAAGCCCCCGTGCCGACCCGCCACCGCCCCTAAGAACCGAAGCAATACTGCAAAGTCCCAGCCCCACCTCAATATCACGGGTTTGGAACTGATGCGGTTACCATAGAGGTACTACGAAACGAAGCTAGTTTCTTGCGGTTCAACCTTCGTCCTAGAATCAGTTTAGAACCTTTGAAGACCCTGTAAAACTTAAGCAAAACCACCTTACTCGCAACAGCCTGCAGCTGCTGCTGTTGCAGCTGCTGCTCCTGCAGCTGCTGCGGTTGCAGCTGCTGCGGTTGCAGCTGCTGCGGTTGCAGTTGCTGCGGTTGCAGCTGCTGCTGGGTAAAGGCCACCTGTGCAGGCAGCTGCGCTCGCAGTTTCACGGATTCGGGCTTGCAAAACTGACTGTTTAGGGCACGAGAAGCTGTGTACTGAAGCTCTGTTCTGAGTTCACAAGCCAAGGCTTACCAGGATGAGTGCAAGAACTTGCTTGTGCAATAGCCCGAAGATTAGGACCCGGTGATAGCCTCCCTGTGTGTTCATACTCCTCATCATCGGTAACATTGTAACAACAGGGTATAGAAGTATAGAAGAAATGTTACAACGGGTATCAGCATGATCAGTAAGCAGTTAGACAGCATGTATTTCCTGAAACACAAGTTGACGCGCGCGTCAAGAGCTACTGTCCTTATTCAAATCATGATGGTCATGGCAGCAACTGTGATAGTGACGAGTGATGATGGCTATGATGACGATGATGATGGTTCTGCGGGGGGGAGGCGGAGGAGTGCGATTGTTTCCGTGCCAGTGCAGAAACCATAAATGTCCCAAAGGCTGCAGGATAATTAGCGAACATTGACCCATTTCAAGTGGTCAAACTCACAATGTGTGATTTAAAGCTCGGTGTGCATCCGCTGCCTGCAAAGGAAACCTGAAGCACATGACATATACCCACTACTGTTATTATCACTATTTTCATTATCATTATTATTCTTCTTTGTTGTCATTCTTCAACCTGCCCTGCCCACTTCTCTCACGAGAAGCCGCCTGTGCCAATTGAACCGCTCGCTCGTGAGGGATCCCACAACGCAGGTACTCATGGTACCACAACGCCTGCCACGTCTGCGATTGTTGCTGTTCTGTAAACCCTAAAGCCTAAACCGTAAACCCAAAAGCCTAAACCCTAAAAACGAACTAAACAACCCCCCCAAACCCTAGCTCCCATACGGAGGCTGCATGCAGCAGTACCGGAGCTCTGCACAGCCGCAGTTTCAGCAAGCTCTGACTGTAGGGCTTGGGGTTCAAGGATTTAGGGTCCATAAAGCTTGCGAGCGACTCATTGGGCACGTCATTTGTTGCATCGAACGGTTCCCTTTCGAGTGAAAACATGTTAAGGTCTGAAGGCAATGAAACCCCTACATGTTACGTAAACCCCAATACCCCCGAGACCCTAAATCCCAAGCCCTAAACCCTAAACCCTCTGAGTATGCAATCCAGGCTGACCCAGACCTTCCACATATCCCTTCATTAAGGAATATACTACACTAAGTAGGATCCCCGTATGATTTCAAGTATATTCCTTTATTAAAGGATACTGGAAGGTCCGGGGAACGCAACTTATGGCTTGAGATTTTCTCGACGCGAGAGTGGCCTAGGAATAAAAAGGGTGCCCTTTTAGGTTTAAAGGGGCCTATAAGGGAACCTGACACCTACAAAAAGGGAATAAGGGCCTACTCCAGAGCCAGATCCTAGTTTTAGAATTCCGGCTCAGAGGCTCAACTTCCAACTCGAGTTCAGGATTTTGGGGTCGGGGCGGGCGCGCCTTGGCCATTTTCTACGTACCAAACACAACCCGGACCCAAACCCTACTTCCGAGGTTTCAAGGTTTAGGCTTGTTCCGTCTCAGATGTGGGGTTTCGGGTCTCGGAAGCGTTGAAGGCGACACCAGTCAGTGCCGAGAGGCAATTTAGGGCTAGGGTCCTGGCACCCTTACGCTCACCAAGACTATTCTGTGGCTGCTTCTGATGATGATGGTATAATAAACCCCAAACCCTATGCTAACCATTACGCCCCCTGCTTAGCTGTGTAACCAGCAGCCTGAAATTATGCTCTGGGGTTTAGGGCTTAGGGTGAGGGCTCAGTACGAACTCTGAAGGCGTGCGAGAGAATGCACGGTTGAAGGCTGCGGAAGGTTTACTTAGAAGCCCAGGGGACATAGTAAGTAGGTTATGAGTAGAGCAGAGTTATAATTTATAAGTACCCTAAATGGAGATACCCCAAGTATAAGCTTACCTAGGACCGACTTACTAAGTCTTCCGGGCCTCCAAGCAGGGTTTAGGGTTTAGAACGCACTCAGCCGTCTTGTAGTTGTTGGAATATGCAAACACCTAGAGTACATTCTGATTTAGAAACTACGAGGGAATACTATTGCGAATTACTCCAAACCCTATAGCGCTGCTCGAAACCCTGAAACCCCATGGACAAAAACCCAGGAGGCGTTTGACTGTTATGCCTGGCCTGCTGTTGCTGCTCCTGTACATAAAACTGCTGATACAGCTGCTGCTGCAGCCCTGGATTCTGAAACAGCTGCTGCTGCAACTGTTGCCGCAGCTGCTGGCTCTGCATCTGCTGCTGCTGCATCTGCTGCTGCACCTGTTGCTGCCACTGTTGCTGCTGCAGCGACGGTGGCATCACCTGCAAACATGCATTTGGGGCTCAAGGTTGCAGGTGCCATGTGGAGTTCAACCCAAACTTACAATCCAACCAAACAAGTCGCAGGGCATTCAGCTCTGCTTCAGGGTATGGGGCAACACATTATGCAGGGTTTAGGGGTTTTGGGTTAGGGGTTTATACATCGGGTGCGCGGGGTGTTGGATGTCTGCTTGTTCTAACGACGACATCACAAGGCCGAAAAACGGTATCACCTGCTGTTCATCCCTGAACCCTAAATCCAACCCTGTACCCTAAACCCCAAACTTTGAACCCAACCCTAAACCTGCACCAACCCTTAATCCTGAACCATGAACCCGAAATCTCAAACCCTAAACCCTGGGAACAGAGGATTTAGGGCTCTGAGCTTTGGCCAGCGAGTCCGACGGGGAGCTATGCTGCGGCGGGTTGCGCAACTATGAGTGCACTTGTTGAGATGGAACTGGACCGCAAAAACCGGTTTAGGGTTTAGGGGACAGCTTACTTCAGAGATCAGCCAAGTGCGTCATGAGTCATGAGGGGACGCGTACTTTCTTCCAGGCTCTAAGATCAGGCCTGCTCATGCTGCGGCACGTGCCAGGGATGTGCCTCGCGCCGTAAGACGATTGGTTTCAGAGACGCATTGAAGTTAGGCTTCATGATATAAGCTGCATACCCGAAGCCCAAAACCCTTAACCGTACTGAAAACGCGCCTTACGAAAACCGACCACCGAGAAGTTCGGAAGGAAAGCGCACGGAGCCTAAACCCTAAACCCCATTGTAGAGACGACCCGTACGCCTTCCCCAACACTGGCCAATTGATCTTCCAAACTTCCCTCTCATGCAAAGCACCAGAAACCATATACCGTTTAGGGTTTAGGGTTTAGGGTTTAGGGTTTAGGGTTTGCCGTAGAATGGCGCATAAGCGGAAGTAGCTTGCGACAGTGTAATTTCGAGTGCATCGTCCTCAGGCGATTCAACGTTTGAGCCTGATTGTGGTTGGCTCTTTATATTCACTCTCCCACCCCACGCCGTCTAAGGCGGCTAAACCACCCAAACCTATTCCTTTTAGGGTTTAGCACCTAAACTCAGTCTACTGTTTTCTTTATTTCTTCAACCTCAGGCGGTGCAAAGCAGGGCAAGGCTCCGAAGTCCCGAAGGGTCTACAGTAGGCCCAGACAAAGAAAGAGTGTGACCTCGATTTGGCCCTATAAGTAAAATGCATATTTTATGAACGGAATTTAATAAGCGAAAACCAGCCCCAGTTTTCCACATTTCTGGAGGGCGCAGGGGGAGCCAAGAGGCCAACAGGTAGGCCAGGGGGGCCAGGGAGGCCAGAGAGCCAGAAAAGGGCCGGGCCAGGGGGGGCCGGCCCAGTGGGGGCGTTGAGGCCAAAAATTGCAATTCTGTCCAGGTCTCCCCCACGTCCTCGAACTCTGGTTGCTGCAGGCCCCAAGCCCCCCCCCGGGGGGTGCCCTTTTGGAGGGGGGCCCAAATGGCTTGGTCCTTTATGGTGAAGCTTGCGGTTTAAGGTAATTACTCTTTAATAGGGACCAGTACTGGTCCCGGCAAGAACGTGTCCCGGTACCGGGCCTAACGTGGGTGCTACAGTACCCCTGGCTGTGGGACGGCGGGCGAGCGTCCTGGATCGACTGCGCCATCGATGTCGAAGGGCATAAGCGCCGCCCACCATCGAAGGTGGGCGGCCTAGGCCCTGAGCTTAGGGTTTCCCCTAAACCCTAAACCCTAAACCATAAACCCTAAACCCTAGCCAACGGCGGACCTGCCCCATAGGAGCCGGTTCCGGCTGCCGTTGCTGCTGCGAGTTCCTTACCTGCTCCAGAGGTCTGCTGTTCAAGCACTTTGGGTTTTCGTTTGGGGTTTCGGGTTTAGGGGCTTAGGGCTTCGAGTTTGGGGTTCAGGGGTTAGGAATTAGGGCTTCGGGTTTATAGGATTCAGGGTTGATTGCTTTCGAAGGGCCCAGCGTTGTGCCACAGGTGCCGGAACCCTTCCCGGCCGCTCTGCAGACATTCAGAACAGTGAGCATGTACTTGGAAGGGCAGGGGACTTAGTAAGTAGGTTATAAGTAGGATTATCATTGGGGTAACTCCATTTGGGGTACTTATAACTCTACTTATAACCTACTTACTAAGTCCCCTGCCCTTCCAAGTACAGTGTACGTTCAAAGCTGCGGTGTGTTTCTTCCTTTTTTTGGGGGGGTCGGGGTTGGGGTTAGGGTTTTAGGGTTTAGGGCTTAGGGCTTGGAGGGTTTATGGTTTAGACAAGATCTCGCGCTGGGCCGTCGCGGCAGGACACGAAAGTAAATTGCTTACCTACCCCCTCTTTACAGCATCCCCCACCGCTACGAAAGCTGATGCAAAGCTACTGCTCAAATCTTACTTACGACCATCAGTCAGCTGCAAAGCGCAAGCGTCTACACCCTAAACCCTACACCCCAACATACCCCAACCCAAAACCCAAAAGCAAGGCGTCGGAAGATCTCGAGAACGCGAGCAGGTTCACCAACATCCCAAGCAGCCACTTCGGCCACGACATGCTGTGATCAGCGCCGAAGGCATGTTTAGCAATTGACCACGTGAGCTTGAGATGTAACCATTTAAAGTACGACTTCTCAGAATCAGAAGCCTCAACCCCAACTCCTGAATCAACCCAAACCACAACCCTAGACCGGAAAAGAAAAAGGTCGCAAGGTGAATTTTCAACAGCACACCAACCACCCAAACCCTAAACCCTGATTTAACAAAAACTATATCCCCACACCGAAACCCTACAGCCATCTACAGCCCTGAATCCTAAATCCTAAAGACTAAAACTCTAGAACCCTCAGCCGCTACGGCATGAAGTCGTAAACCCCGAAGCCCTAAGTCCTAAACCCTGAATGCAGAAACCCTAAACCCCTACAATCCTTAAGCAGGACCCCATACCAAACCCTGAAATCCGAAGCAAGAAAAAAGAAAGCTAAAACCTAAAGCCCTTGATCTCGAGGGGGCCGGCCTGTTGCTCAGCATACAGCTCGTGCTGCTGAGGCTGCTGGCTCGTCACCTGATGAGTTAGTGTTTCGCATAAGCAATGCAGGTTGCAGTGCACAGTGTGAAAAGTTTCTTGGGATATTAAGGATCCCACCACTTGGGGGTCCGGCTTGCCGGTTTACGGCTTAGGGTTTAAGGGTTTAGCGGCTCTAAACGGTTTAGGGTCGGGTGTGCATCCGGGTGCACTGCATGCACTTGCTTTGCACCCTCATATTCCCAAAACAAGGAACGGCACAGAACGAGCGAAACGGAATTTCAACCAAAAGACGCCCGGAACCGAAAGCCAGCACTCTGTACACCTCGGAATCGACGCCTGTGCCCTATGCAAAGCCCTGCAATCCGCGCGACCACCTCCTCCTTTGCCCACGGTGGGCGCTCTCGCTGCTGCAAGTTCCGGGCCTGCCGGCTTAACTTCTTCTGGCTTAGTGGCCGTTCAATAACAAGCCCTTGGCATTGGAAGTCTTGCAAACTGCATCCTGCTTGACCCAGATGTGAAAACAGGCCCGCAACTTGAACGTACAAGTTCCATGCTGTAGTCCCGGGACAAGACGCGTGCTTAACTCGTTTACACTTCACGTGCTTGCAGGTGACAAATCCAAAACCCAAAGCACTCGAAGACCAACCCAGATGACTGGCCTGCTCCTCAGCGACAGGGTCGTGCTGATGCGGCTGCTGTGCTTTCGACGCCTGCTGCCGGCTGGAGATCAAGGATTTACAGATTCTCAGATGCACAGTCCAGGTTTGGAAGGCTTGATGAAGTCAAGTGCACTTATGAGGTCAGCTATGGTAAAATATGGTCAGCTGGGACGAAGACACAGCCTGAAGTCAACTTCGTGTTGCTCACCGGCTCGGCATTAAACGATGTGAAGGGCCAATGGTTCGCTGAATCACATCTTCTCCTGAGCCTGGGTTCCCCTGCAATTCGACGGCCCGAGAAACCTAAACCTACTCCGACCGCAAGGAGGTAACACAGGGGCCTCAATAAATAGAGGAAATGTTTTGGAACCATTATGAAGGAGCCCCCAAAATAGTGTAGGTAATTATTGTGGCCGCTAGATTATGCAATGTGGCCTCCTCCTTGACCGGCTGCAAATGCGAGTGCTGCTCTTGCTGCCACAAGTTCGAGGCCTGCCGCTGCAGACTACACATCCGCGGAAACCGTTTGTGGAACTTGAAGTCAGCAGCCTCGCTTTTCAGGCAAACTAGGTCCTAGCGGGCACAAACCCCGAATAGGGGAAACTCAACAGGGCTTTTTTCCTGCCCTCGGATGTGCCAACTTCAAACCGGAAATTCATGATCTGCAGCCCTAAGCCTAAAGCTTAAACCCCAAAACCCCAACTTTCAAAAAAAACAAATAAAATCAATCAAACCTTTGATGTAACAATTGCTGTTCCAGAAGACTTTCCCGTTGCAGCGAGAAGGACTGCCTCCTACTCGAGCACCCGCCCGACTATTACCGTGCTTACCTCAGACCCTAACCCCTTAGAGAGCCCTTTAAGGCCCTCTTTAAGGAGCCCCTTAAGGAACCCTTTAAGGAGCCCTTTAAGGAACCCTTTAAGGAGCCCTTTAAGGAGCCCTTTAAGGAACCCTTTAAGGAGCCCTGTAAGGAACCCTTTAAGGAGGCATTTTTTTTCGGAGCCTACGACACAAGGCCGCATGCCAAGCTCTCCCAAACAACTCCAGCTGCGGCCTGCTCCTGAACCCCCACCCTACGCCCCAAATCCTGGACCCTACTTGGAAGGGCAGGGGACTTAGTAAGTAGGTTATAAGTAGGATTATTATTGGGGTAACTCCATTTGGGGTACTTATAACTCTACTTATAACCTACTTACTAAGTCCCCTGCCCTTCCAAGTAAACTCCTTGAGCCCTAAACCCTAATGTGGGAACCTGATTAAGAGACCCTGGCCCTAAAACCCCCCCAAAAAAAAATTAGGGCACATATAAACAAAGAACACTAACACAGACCCAGGGTTTCTTAATCAGGTTCCTACATTAAAACCTTAAACCCCTCAACCCCTAAACCCTAAATCCCTCCACCCCATATAAACCTCTCTGCCTGATCCTGAACAGCAGGCTCATGCTGCGGAGGCCGCCAGGCCGCAGCCTGTTGTCGTGTGGAGAACTAGGACAATCCCGGGCTTGAGGGTGTGGAGTTTGGGGTTTGAGGCTTATGGTTTGGGGGCGGCTTGCGGCTTGAGGTTTGGGCTTTGTGGTTTGAGGTTTGGGCTTTAATTGTTGTGGAATGAAGTGAAGCAAAATTTACGAGTCCGTCCCAGTTCATACAAGCGGCTTTGCCAACAGTCAAGGCTGTGTGGAATGAAGTGCATTCTATGCTGTCGCATCGTGCTGGTTCATATAACATAACCTGAGTGCAAGCGCATGGGAGCCCACAGGGGTATACGTCTCAAGTTGAGTCTCAAGATCCGAGCATTGGCTGGCCTCCTCCTTTGCAGGCAGCAGGTGCGGGTGCTGCTCTCGCTGCCGCGAAAAACGTTCCTGCAGTCTGGATAATATGCTGCACGGGCTTCTTCCAAGCCAGTCGCAGCGGTACCCCATGAGCCACGTAGATTTGAGATCTCGTAACCAAACCCTCAACCCGAAACCCTAAAACATGAAGCCTTCTGTACCCTAAACCCGAAACCCCAAGCGATTGAAAACCTGCCCATGCTCCTGTGCAGCAAACTCCTGCTGCGGCGGCCGCCAGGGCACCTGTGAAGAACTTGAATTCCCGTAAGCACCGTCTTCGAGCCGATTCGAGATTGAATGCACTCTACCTAGCCCCAGACTAAAGCCCACGTTCCAAGCTCCCCCGAACACCCACAAAACCCAAGCCCCAAAGCCCAAACCCAAAAATCGAAAACCCTAGGCTCCACCCTAACCCGAAACCCTAAACCCCAAAGCCTACAGCCTAAACCCAAAGCCCGAAGCCCAAACCCCAAAAAATCGAAAACCGAAAGCTACCCTAGCCCGAAACCCTAAACCCTAAAGCCTAAAGCCTAAACCCTAAACCCAAAGCCCGAAGCCCAAACCCCAAAAAATCGAACCCTAGCAGCAGCTGGCCTCATCCATCGGATGCCGCGGGGGGCGCTGCTCTCGCTGCCACTCCCGGGCCTGCTAGCTTTGGGGGTTTGTAGGCTTTATGGGTTTAGGGTTCAGGAGTTTAGGGTTCTGAGACGGCGGTTTTGTGAAGATTTGGAGGTGCAACAGGAGTATTTCGAGTTTCGCGCTTAATGTTCTCGGGTGCCTGGGATTTAGGGTGCGGGGTGTGTCGAGCAAGGTCCGCAGGTGAAGCCTTTTGGGTCAGGCCGCTGTGCCGCCACGCACGTGGAACTCCATTGACAAACCCCGGCTAACTCCGCTCCAAAAGTGCAGCCAAAGGCTTTGCAACATGTGCTTCTCCGGCTCCAACTCCAAACCACCAGCTGTTTCGACGTAACTTGAGAAAGAAGACCACTCATACATGAACATCATTTTCCCGAACATGTTAGGCATAGAAGTTGAAAAAGCTAGATGCCATTGTTGTCAACTGCCCTGCTAAGGAATAACTGTACGCAAGACCTCGTACCATATCCGAAGATCCCCAACGCGAGCCCCGAAACCCTAAACGCTAAACCTGTCATCAGCTGCAATCCCTAAACCCCTAAACTCTAAACCCCTAACCCCTAAACCCCTAAACACCTAAAACTCTAAACCCTAAATCCCTAAAACTCTAAACCCCAGAACCCTTAACCCCTACAACCCTAATGGCCTCTCTGGCCTCTCGAGGCTCCTCCTTTACGCGCTGCAGACGGGGATCTGGCTGCCGCACGCCATGTTCCTCCATTCTTTGAGGCTATGGGTTTAGGGTTTAGGGTTTAGGATTTTTAGGGGTTTAGGGTTTAGGGTTTGGGATTGTTAGGGGTTTAGGGTTTAGGGCTTAGGATTTGGGATTTTTAGGGGTTTAGAGTTTAGGGGTTTAGGGTGGTGTTCCTCCAGTTTGGAGGCTATCGAGTTTGGGGTTACAAAGGGGCTCTTTTTGTGTTTTTGAACCCTCGTGTCTTTTGGGCTCCGCAAAAACGGGGGCTCTAGGTTCTATAGGGTTTAGGCTTTATCAGGGTTTACGGTTTCAGAAGAGGTTTAGGGCTAAGGGTTTAGAGGCTTTAGGGTTTCGTGCTGCGCAAGTTCGTAGAGTTTCATGATCAGGGCTCTCATATGTTCAGGCACCCTTGCTGCAGTTTGCGACTTTTGGGGAAATAATGAAAGAAGTAAGCCGCACTGAGGGCTTTGGAACAAAATGCCGTAAAACCACGAAGACCCACTACGCGCACATTCTATCCAGGCATGCTTGGTGCGTCAGTCCAGCGATGAAAGGTGCTCAAGTCCCGATGCTTGGCGTCATCTGGTTAAACTCCGCGCCTGCAAGACGAACCCTCCACCCTATTCCCAAAAGTCTAAAGCTTAACTTTTCTAAACCCCATTCCCAAAACCCTAAACCCTAAACGGCCCTAAACCCTGATCCCATCACACAGACCCCGAATCGCAAAGCAGCCCGAAACCCGGCCTGTTCCACAGCAGCATGCTCGTTCGGCTGCGCCACCTGATGCCAGCCCGCAACCTGCTCCTGGGCATACCGAGACGCATTGAATCATACTATAGGGGCCTTAATAATTAGAATAGGGAATTGGGGCCCATTATACTATAAGTATAATAGGAAACCCCCCAAAAAATCGCATGGTAACTATTTTAATTATGAGCCCCGAAATTAGCGTTAAGCCGCGAAGGTTGAGAAATACTTCTCTCTCCGAAAGGATCTGGGAATCTCGGGCTCCCTGGGCAGGGTTAGGGTTTAGGGAGTTTAGGGTATTCCCGAGTTTGGAAAGTTTGGGAGGTGAGGTGCCTGTGTCAGCTACAGTCATGTGCTACCCAAACACGAAACGCACACGACTCCCGAACCGGCACAAGAAACTTGAATACTGTAGGTGCCCTCATAATTAGAATAGGGCTTTGGGGCCCAATATACTATATTTATAGTAGGGAACCCCCAAGATAATATTGGTAATTATTAAGGCCCCTATATTCAACCCCTATCTCTTAAAGGATCCCTTTAAAGGAAACCTATGGTAATTATTTAGGCCCCTATACTTCTCGAAAACTGTGGCTGGCCTGCTCCTGATCAGCAGCCTCGCGCTGCTGTCCCCGGTACCAGCTCATCTGTTGTCGCGGGGGGGGGGGCCTTTGGCTTCACAAAGCTAATATAGGGGACTTAATAAATAGAATAGGGTTTCGTGGCCCATTATAATATAACTATAGTCAGGAGTCCCCAAAATAGTATAGGTAATTATTAAGGCCGCTACATTAAGAGCCTTTGGTGTCCGGAAACGGAAGAGAAATGTATTCTCAAGAGCCCATCCTAGCTTCAAAGGTCTCCAACACGAGAACACTGCCCAAAAATTCGATCTGTGTCCATACTACTGCTCAAGAGCTGCTTGGGTCACCTCAAATCTGCGCTTGGATCACCTGACCCAAAACCGCACAAGTCAGACCTCGTTCCATATCCCTAGATCCCATCGCGAGCCCGAAACCCTAAACCTGTCATCAGCTGCAATGCTACGGTTGATGATATAAATCCTGCGTTATCATAATAAGGAATATACCATAATTCCCATAGTTTAGGGTGCTGAAGGTAATGCAGGATTTATATCAGCAAGGCTAGCTGGCCTCTCTGGCCTCCTCCTTTACAGGCCCCAGCCGGAGCTCTGGCTGCCGCAAGCTGTGCTCCTCCGTTCTTGAGGCTGTGGGGCTTTAGGGTTTAGGGTTTAGGGCTTAGGGCTTAGGGTTTAGGATTTTTGAGGGGTTTAGGGTTTAGGGGTTTAGGGTTTAGGGTTTAGGGTTTAGGGGTTTAGGGTTTAGGGGTTTAGGGTTTAGGGTTTAGGGGTTTAGGGTTTAGGGTTTAGGGCTTAGGGCCTTAAGGTTGAAGGCTTAAGGGGCTTGGCGTTCAGGCTTTGGAGCCATGGGCTTCGGGCTTTAAGGTCTAGGGTTTCGGGCTGCGGAAGCTTCTAAGCTTCATGCTGGGGGTTTGAAAGCGTGCAAGCAGGCTTGCCGCGGCTGGCGAGTTTCGCCCCAATCCATGAACCCTGAACGCTAATCAGTGAATCAGCTAATCCCGAATCCATTATTCCTAAACCCCACAGCCTGATAAAATCACACACCCCAGTTCCACAGCAGGCTCATGCGGATGCGGTGCCTGATGCCAGCCCCACACCTGCGGCTTCGTGAAGGCTTCACAAACCCTGAAGCGTGCACCCATAAGCAAGGAGCCGTAATTAACTCATAACAGTATACTGCATAAGTTGAAACATGTTTCTCAATGAATTAAGCATTAAGGGCTCTCCGGGCAGGCTTCTTCGATCCGGCCAGTGTGCAAGCGGCAGAGGTACGAACTGCGCGTCGCTCCCGGACCCCGAAACTTAAGGTGGATTAGGGATGAGGGTTTAGGGTTTAGGGGGTAGGGCTTAGGGTTTAGGGCTTAGGGTGGATTGTACCTAGACCCTCAAAAGTAGATAAAATAATGGCCCAAAACCTATAGAAGGCTATTATTCTACATACTTTTGGGGTCCAGGTATAGCTCTATATACTGGCTAGCCGCAGACTCAAGCCCACATCCCAAGCTCCCAAACACGAGGCCCTCTGCCATCAGCCGCAACAGCGAATGGGCCTTAACAATTAGAATAAGGTTTTGAAACCCATTATACTATAATTACAATAAGGACCCCCAAAATAGTCTAGGTAATTATGTAGGCCCCTAATATAGAGCCCTTATTGTAGCCCTTATAGACCCCTTTCCACATTAGTGTAGGTAATTGCTTAGGCCCCTATATTACCCTATAAACCCTGAACCGAGACCTCCTCCTTGACACCCGGCAGCTGCGCTCGCTGCCCCAAGTCGCGCTCCTGCAGTCTGAGGACTATACCCTAAACCCCGCACTCGAAACCCTAAACTCAAAACTATACTGACCATACCCTAAACATCCCTAAACCCTGAGCCCTGAACCCTAGACTCGAAACTAATACCCTGAACCCTGAAGCTTGTTCGCTCTAGGGGTTTTGGGATTAGGGTTTAGGGGTTTAAAGGTTTGGGGTTTAGGGTTATATACCATACGGTGCCCCTTTATGGGTAGTTCTGCAGTTCCTGCTTCAGGCGGCAAGATCTGTCGCGACCGTCAACTGCGAGAATTTCGGTCGGAACCAAGAAGGGATCCAGGAAGCCCGGAAACATGAAATCCTGAACTCCACTTGGAAGGGCAGGGGACTTAGTAAGTACTTATAACTCTACTTATAACCTACTTACTAAGTCCCCTGCCCTTCCAAGCAGCCCAAAAGAACCCGAGCCTAGAACGCTTGTCCACTGGTGAGTTTGCTTGTTTCGGGCTCCGGCATAAAGATAATCACCAATGCTAGTTTTTTTGTGGGTAAGGTCCTTGTTAAAATCGTAGTGTAACACACCCCTAAATCCTGTTCTACTCATGAAAGCCCCTAGCTTAGAGGCACTATTCTTGGAATCGGATCTAAAAACCCCAAACCCACGTGCTAACTGTTGATGATATAAATCCTACATAACCTTAAGGACCCAAAACTATGGGAATTATGGTATATTCCTTTTTATGGGTAATGCAGGATTTATATCACCAACCGTAAGCTCCCGGGACTGACTCCTGTTCGACTCCTTCACTAGAACCTCTGAACTCTGAAGCCTGAGTCGCGAGTTAGGATTTGGGGTTTAGGGATGTTTAGGGTTTAGGGATGTTTAGGGTTTAGGTATGTTTAGGGTTTAGGGATGTTTGGGGGGTTAGGGTGTAGTTTTAGCCTTAAACCTGAATTCCTAAACCTCCAAAACCCCATAAACCCTAAACCCCGGCAAGCCCTACACCCTCAACCCCTAAACAGCCCTACCCGACACCCTAGCCTAAACCCCTGAAGAAAAACGAAACTCTAAGGGCGGGCCTCCTCCTTCACAAGCTGCCATTGAGGTTGCTGATGCCAACCCCCTTCCTGCTGCTTGAAGGAAAAGGGGCTTAGGGTGGAGGGTTTAGAGCTTAGTGTTTAGGGCTTAGGGTTTAGGGCTTAGGGTTTAGGCCCTAAACCCTAAGCCCTAAACCCTAAGCCCTAAACCCTAAACCCTAAACCCTTAACTCTAAACCGTGTGAAGGGTTAGGGCTTCGGGTTTAGGGCTTCGGGTTTCGGGCTTCGGGTTTAGGGCTTCGGGCTGACGGCCTAGGGTCTAGGCTTTAGGATAGGGCTCGGATACGGTTTGGGAGAAGCGTCGGGCTTCTGAGGCTTAGCATGTGGGGCATCCCGGGTATGAGCTTAAAGCGCCAGGTTCAAGGGTTTAGGGTTTGTAGGGTTTAGGATTTAGGGTTTAGGGTTTAGGATTTAGGGTTTAGGGTTTAGGATTTAGGGTTTATCATTTAGGGTTTAGGGTTTAGGGTTTCAGTGCACCCGTGGACTTTAGACTCAACTCTCTGTGATGCCCTACGGCTCGTAGGCCCTAACCACTAAACACCATGCCGTTGCTATGCTGACCGCAGCTACTCCTGCGGGCAAGGTACCAATCGTCAGTGTTGACATCAATGCTGCCCGACTCAATCCTACCAAACAGGACATGCCTTCGATTATGCCTGTCATCGTCGCTGCAGACGAAGTAGTTCTGATGGGAGTCTCTTCTCATCTGGATGGTACTGTCAGTCTACTGGTACTAAACTAGCACTTCTACTGGTGCCACAAGTACTACTAACTCTACAGGTACATCGAGTACCACTGGTACGAATAGTCGCGCGTGTCGTACGTCGTAGTCGCAGTCGTCGCAGCAGCAGCAGTCGTCGTCGTCGTCGCGCTGGTGGGGGTGGTAGTGAGGAAGCCGTAGCAGCTAGTAGAAATGCTTGAACCCTGAACCCAAAACCATCCTAAACCCTAGACCCTAAACCCTCAACCCTAAACCAAAAACCCTGAGCCCTGAACCCTCGACGCTCAACCCAAAACCCTGAACCCTAAACCCTGAACCCTAAACCCTGAACCTGAACCCTAAACCCTGAACCCCCTAAACCCTGAACCCTGAACCCTAAACCCTAAACCCTGAACCCTGAACCCCCTAAACCCTGAACCCTGAACCCTAAACCCTAAACCCTGAACCCTAAACCCTAAACCCTGAACCCTAAACCCTGAACCCGAAACCCTGAGGCCTAAACCCCAAAACCCTGAACCCTAAACCCTGAACCCGAAACCCTGAGGCCTAAACCCTAAACCCTGAACCCTAAACCCTGAACCCGAAACCCTGAGGCCTAAACCCTAAACCCTGAACCCTAAACCCTAAACCCTAAATCCCAAAAAAAATTACAGCAGCAACCCTGAACCCTCAGGTTGAAGAAGGGCAGCAGCAACAGCGCTCGCTGTCCCGCCTCACGCAGGACTCCCACGGTCTCTGGAGTTGTCCTGGCAGCCCCAGAAGCGGTTTAGGGTTTAGGGTTTAGGGTTTAGGGTTTTGGGTTAGGGTTTAAGGTTTTGGGTTAGGGTTTAGGGTTCTGGGTTCTGTGTTTAAGGTTTAGGGTTTAGAGTTCAGGGTTTAGGGTTTAGGGTTCGCCCTCAACCCGTTGGGCTCAGGGTTTAAGGCTGGGGGCTTTTAGGGTTTCGACTTCAAGTCTTCGGTTTTTTTTGAGCTCCTTACGCCTGAAATGTACATGTCTCTTCCCGGGGGCTGGGACCGTCTACTTCGGATTCTCACCAGTGGCTTCAAGCTCCTTGTTCTTGTCATGGATTTTTGACATCTCTTCCTGCAGCAGCTTCTCGGCCTTCTCCACGCGAGTGAGAGAGTCATCCCGCTCCTTCCTCATCTGGTCTTTCTCCTTCTGCAGCTCAGGCTTGTCTTCCCAATGTCGGTTGTCTTCCGGAGCTGCGGCGAGATCTTCATCCAGTCTCGCTACCTGCGCACCCGCAGTGCTCGTGGTGGACCTTCCCCGCGAGCCGGCATTGCCAGTAGCTGGGTATCCTCTGGGTCGCCAAGCCGGGTTTAGGGTCTAAGGCTTAGGGTTTAGGGGTTTAGGGGTTTAGGGTTTAAGGCTTGAGGCTGAGGGCTGTAGGGGGAGATGTAGAGTTACAGGCTTGGTTAGGGCCTGAAGATGCGCTGTCTCTCCTGCTTTGCTTAAGGGCACAAGTCCAGGACGTCTGAACCCTAAGCCCTAGACAGGACAGGGAGGTTTGCTTTGCTGGCCGATACCATACACTGCAAGGTGCCCACAGGTGGAGGAAAAGTGCTAAGGTTTAGAGTTCGGGGTTTAGCGTTGATGGCCTAATCTTGGGTTCGGGGTTCAGGGATTCAGGTTTTTGGGGCTCAGATCAGGGTTGGGCGCTTGGGGTTTAGGGTTTGAGGTAAGCCTGCGAGCTTCAGAGTCGGCTCAGCTAATATAGGGGCCTGAATAATTACCTATGCTATTTAGGAAGTTCCGTATTATGCTTATAGTATAATGGGCCCCCTTCTCTGATTATGAAGGCCCCTACAGTACACCGGGAACCAGACACCCCCAAAAGCAGAAAATCGCCAAGCCAAACCCCAAACGTCTCAGCCAAAACGGTTCCCAGACATCCTCCGATCTGCACACTATGCCGGATGAAAATATGTACCGAGCTGGCATTTGGACCAACACCTGAGGGGTGTGCGGCTGAGAGGTTTGCGATGCGGGCCTTAGGGTTGGAGGGCTAAGGTGTAGCATTGCAGAGGATGCAAGATCCTGCTGCTGCTGGTCTCCGATTCGGTGGAGGACTCCTGCAACAGATACGGAAAGATCATGGAAATCCAGGGTTCGAAATTGCGGTGGTATAACCCTAACCCTAAACCCTACACCCCAAACTCTAAGCCTTTGTATGCCTTCTTCTGCGTTCTCAAGGACAAGGGCTTAGTTCCAGCCTACTGAGTCTGGTATCGGGGCCGTTCAGGGTTTGGAATAGTTCTCCAATCTAAGGGTTTAGGGTTTAGGGTTTAGGTCCCTTTTCGGGTGCTTTGTTGTCAGGGCGCCGTACTGTTTTGGAGACCGAAATGGGAGTTAGGATTAGGGGGGACCCTCGGGGATATAGACCCTCTCAATAAGGTCCGTGTTAAGAGAGCCAGAAGTAAGGTTCGGAAGGGCCACCCTTTAAGGGGTCTCCCTCATCATGCTACCCACGAAAGGGAGGCCCGAGTTTGGAGAACTAACCATTCCGAGCCGGGGGGCTTCCAGCTTAGGCCACGAATCTCAAGCAATCGGTTTAGGGTGTGGGGCTCAAGCCCTTAACCCTAATGTAGGTGCCGAAAGAATTACCCGTACTGTTTTGGGGAATTCTTGTTCAAGTTATAGTATAATATACCTCCAAACGCGATTCTAAGTATTAAGGCCCCTATATATATATATATATATATATATATATGGTACCCCCCCCCCCCCCGGTACCCAGGTTGTGTCCTGTTCAAGCCAGACACCTTGTCCCTAATATTTGTTTGTGTTCCTTGGTCATTGCGTCTCTGGGAAAGCACGTTTTCGTTTACTGTGGCTCCCTGGGCTTCTAAGTGTAGCGTCTACTGTATTGTTGCTCCCGAGCTTTCTCCAAATCGATGGAACGTGCTGGAAATGTTGGAAAAGCCAACAATTTCCACAATTTCCATGATCTGTCTGTAGGGAATCATGGGAATTGTTGGTTTTACCAACATTTCCAACAATTTCCATGATTCCCGAAACTATGGCTCGGGCTCCCGAGGTTTTTCCAAATTCATGGAAATTGTTGGAAATGTTGGTAAAACCAACAATTTCCATGATTTCTCTGAGGGGAATCATGGAAATTGTTGGTTTTACCAACATTTCCAACAATTTCCATGATTCCCGAAACTATGGCGCGGGCTCCCGAGGTTTTTCCAAATTCATGGAAATTGTTGGAAATGTTGGTGAAACCAACAATTTCCATGATTCCCCTCAGAGAAATCATGGAAATTGTTGGTTTTACCAACATTTCCAACAATTTCCATGATTCTTGAAACTATGGCTCGGGCTCCCGAGGTTTTTCCAAATTCATGGAAATTGTTGGAAATGTTGGTAAAACCAACAATTTCCATGATTTCTCTGAGGGGAATCATGGAAATTGTTGGTTTTACCAACATTTCCAACAATTTCCATGATTCCCGAAACTATGGCGCGGGCTCCCGAGGTTTTTCCAAATTCATGGAAATTGTTGGAAATGTTGGTAAAACCAACAATTTCCATGATTTCTCTGAGGGGAATCATGGAAATTGTTGGTTTTACCAACATTTCCAACAATTTCCATGATTCCCGAAACTATGGCGCGGGCTCCCGAGGTTTTTCCAAATTCATGGAAATTGTTGGAAATGTTGGTAAAACCAACAATTTCCATGATTTCTCTGAGGGGAATCATGGAAATTGTTGGTTTTACCAACATTTCCAACAATTTCCATGATTCCCGAAACTATGGCGCGGGCTCCCGAGGTTTTTCCAAATTCATGGAAATTGTTGGAAATGTTGGTAAAACCAACAATTTCCATGATTTCTCTGAGGGGAATCATGGAAATTGTTGGTTTTACCAACATTTCCAACAATTTCCATGATTCCCGAAACTATGGCGCGGGCTCCCGAAGTTTTTCCAAATTCATGGAAATTGTTGGAAATGTTGGTAAAACCAACAATTTCCATGATTTCTCTGAGGGGAATCATGGAAATTGTTGGTTTTACCAACATTTCCAACAATTTCCATGATTCCCGAAACTATGGCGCGGGCTCCCGAGGTTTTTCCAAATTCATGGAAATTGCTGGAAACGTTGGTGCGACCAACAATTTCCATGATTTGTCTGAAGGGGGATCATGGAAAGTGTTGGTTTTACCAACATCTTCCATTATTCCCGAAACTGCGGCTCCGGCTCCCGAAGTTTCTCCAGATCCATGGGAATGGTTGAACATGCTGGTTTCGGCAACATTGTCCACAGTACATATTTCAATACGTTGTTACCGAAAGTTGCGATTGAGCAGATCTTACGTACTCGTGCGAGGCGTTTTACAGACAATCCGGTAAGGTATTTGCATCTTTGATTAAGCTCACTAGTTGGTCCAACACGAAGCTAGGTAATTCATGGTCTCCGCTTGAAGACACTACTGTGGGAACACCAGTTCATGGGTTTTCTGTTTATCACATACAAGGCTGTACTCCATGTCTAAGATTCAAAAATTTATTGTAGGAAAGCTATTGCTGCACGACCAAGCTTAGCTGGCTTAATCACCCACTTCTTAAGATAAATGTAGAAGAATCTACTTATGTTGCTTGGTGTTTGCATGGGGGTCTTTGGTCGTTGTGGTTGTGTATTCTTTTTTGGTGTGGCACTGGTGCTTACAAAAAAACAAAGAGCCCGTAGTCAAAAGACTACCATGTGCACCAGAATTCTGACATACATCGTTGTCAACTTGTCATCATTTGGTAGGTGCAGACTTTCGAAAACGATTCTGCGAACAATAAAATGGATATTACCTGTATGATGCACGCACTTTTGATGAACTGCACTCGGATTAAACATGTCGAAGTCACCTGACGTGAAAAAACTATAGTCGAACTAATTAACTGCAACATACAACCTAGCGTGTAACACGCAGCCCCGGCGTGTTGGATCATGTTTGATTTGGAAGACTAACAACCCACTCTCAGCAGGTAAAAAGCAAGCAAATGTGTGACTTGGTTAACCATCATCCTACCAAGAAGTGTTTTGAAACACAAGTGTACGTATTCACGTGGTGTTCTTTGGTAGGTTTATACTCAACCTAGCAGAATGTATAAAACACAGGACTCAGCAGGTACTTCATTGACTTTATAATGCTTGGCTACTATCAAGCAAGGTTCCCGAACAATATACGAAGCAGTCTGAATGAACAATCAGAACAGTAATTGACACAGTAACACTTGATGCAAAAATTAAACAAGCCGGGTGGTACATGGTCCTAAATGGCCTGGTATTGGTGAAGTATGATAACCACTGTAACAGGAATAATGGCAATTTGCAAGATGTGATAACAACACTGTGAGAGGTAATATTAAAACCACACTTGACATTTTGAGCTCGATATAGAAGAACAGAACATGTAGCAGTTTCATGACTGGGAAAAGAAACGGAGATCGGATTCCTAAGGCAATGGAGACTATACTTGCAGTAACAATTGCGAAGCCTACACACACCGTCGTGAAACACGATTTCATACTTTGTCGCTATTGACTGCTAATTTGACAGACACGCATGAATCATTGTACAGTGCTGCGGAGACTGAAGGTTTTGACAAGTATACTGACACTATATGACACTGCTTTAGGCTTATTCCATATATGGCTGTATGAACCAATGAACACAGCAATTCATGTGAGAGACTGCAACACCCACCACAGCAATGACATTGTTGCGTGTGTAAAAAACCATAACGACAGCCAATTAAACATAGCCACTATCCACCTTGATCCGAAATCTGCGTTCATGGCCTTGGGGATGCTACAGTATCACTTCTATTTTCTATGCCGTGCAAAGTTCTTTCTCTTACTGGGTTTCAGTAGGCCTGCTTCGCCATACCCTGCAGTTTGTCACACTCGCTCACTACTAGTACAGTACTATATGTCGGCTTATCGCGAGCATGCTGGTGCACTTGCAGCCTTTTCTGTCCGACTTCCTTCGTGCTATCAGCACAAAGACGAAAACCTGGGTACCTGAGGGGGGGGGTAGCATATATATATATATATATATACACCCCCAACCTTTGAACCCTAAAGCCATACCCCTCAACCTCACACCATAAACCTTCCTCCTCATCGCCCCAAAAAACCTCAACCTTAAACCCCGAGCCTTCAACTTTAGACATCCTCACAGTGGGTGGTTGTCAAGCTTATGGTCCTTTTGGGGGCCCCAAAAAAGCACATAAGCAAAAATTAGGATAGGGATATCCCATATCAACCCCCTCATAATGAGGCCCGCTAAGGTAGGGATATCCCGGTAAAATGCGTATGCTTATGTGCTATTTGGGTCCCGAATTTTTGGGTACCTTAAAATATAAGTGCCGTATTATAATAAGGACCCAAAAGGGACCGTAATACTGTTGATGATATAAATCCTGCATGACCCAGAATAAGGAATATGTTATAATTCCCATATATTCCGTATTATGGGTAATGCAGGATTTATATCATCAACCGTATTGACAACCACCCAAGTGTAAACCAAGAAGCGTCAACCTGAAGACCCTCAGCCCTCAACTTTAGACCCTAAGCCCCGCAAACCTGAAACACCTAAAACCCTACTTGGAAGGGCAGGGGACTTAGTAAGTAGGTTATAAGTAGGATTATAATTGGGGTAACTCCATTTGGGGTACTTACAACTCTACTTATAACCTACTTACTAAGTCCCCTGGCCTTCCAAGTAATCCCTGAACCACCTGCCTCAAACCCCAACCCTGCAATCTCAAGCCCTAAACCCTCAACCTGAAACCCTAAATTCTCAACCTTGCCGGGTTGGGTTGGAGGCTCAGGTTTAAGGACGTGCCCTTCTGTCGCGGCCTGACGGACCTGACGTGATGGAAGCGGCGGCGGTGGTGGCGGGAGATGTGACTTCTCCTGTTTTAAAGTTTAGGGTTTCGGGTTCAATGGGGCAAGGGATTATAGTGCTTAGGGTCCAGGGTTTGAGGGTTAGGGCTCAAGGCTCAGGGGTGCTTCATCGGGATCTAGAAGACTCGAGGTGTTTACGGGAATTTCGGAAGGGCCCTTGGGATGCAGTTATCAGGTCTGAAGGGCTGTGGCTTCTCAAAGGGGAAAAGGAGGGACCCTTAATAAGGACCCCTAGGTATATACCCTTTAGTATAGCTATTATACACCCATTATATAGTGGCTCGTCCTTCTTTTTGCATCCTGCTTGGATCTGCATCATTCGGGAAGCTGCTGTTCAGCTTACCAGCGACCACGGGCGCCGGGAGAGGCGGGTGGGCGAGCGAAAACTACGGATGCATGGAAAGACTCGCAACTAGTACACAGTGGCTCGTCCTTCTTTTTGCATCCTGCTTGGATCTGCATCATTCGGGAAGCTGCTGTTCAGCTTACCAGCGACCACCCCCAAACAGTTCCAGCTCTGCTGTAGATGTTCCACTCAAACTTCCACCACTTCCATGCATCAAGCGCCGTGGGTCGCTAAAAATTGCCAAGCAACTGTAGGAAAGCCGAGTCGCTGCCACGACTCAGCTTTGCGAAGCATCTGTTCGAAAGTTGCCGCTACCTCAAACAGAAAAGACCGCACTTCAGGTTGCAGGCGTGTCAAGAACGTCACCGAGGATACTTCTTGGATATATATTTCCATAACCTTTGTTGTTATCCATCTGCCGCGGCGACGAACGTAGTCGGGGTTCTCGGTACAGTTCATTAACCAGGTAGCACCGCCGGCTCTGAGGGAGCCTAAGTCGAAGCTTTTAACACCTGGCACCGCTTCTTGCTGAAGCCGAACAGCGAAGAGGAGCTTCTTGAACTTGTTCCGAAGGGTGGACCCTGAGAAACTCCACAGCTTATCGTGAGGCTGCTTTCCAGAAAAAGCCAGGATAACAATCCTCAGGAGCTGCGGTTGGTCCAGCCGGAGGCATTGGTGCCGAGCAGCGCGGAACCGCGTCTTCGGTTCGCGAACCGAAAGCAAACAGTACCCCGCTTCGTAGCCAGTGTCAGAGGGAAGAATCAGATCGATCCTTTTGGCATCCAGTGCCTCGCCTATGCGGGCAAGGCCTCCCCAGCACAAGGCGATGATCCCTGCTAGATCAGTCCACCCATAGAGCAGAGAAACTGTAAGGATCGCAGATAGTACCTGCCACGGCATAGCTGTGTGATGTTCCGGTGGTTCCTCTCGCTGCCACGCGAAAGCTAAATCCCATGCTGGCTGCACCATCCTGCGGAGGGAAGGGACCAGTGAGGTGAACATGTTCAAAGTCTCAGAGTAGCTGGAGTACGGCCAGCCGTCCGTATAAAGGTGGCGGCCATAGTCAATCAGGACCTCATTGGCAAAATCCGGGTCCCCTTTACAGCGCGCAGCAAACCAGTCAAAGGAAGTACCAGCGAGAGCCAGCCAGTCTGTGAAAGCTTCCTTCAACTTGTCCCGGCGGAGCTGAGTGCTCTTAAGGACCGGTCTCCCAGCCGGAAGGCTTCTACCCAGACGTCTTGCAGCTCTAGCAGCTTGGTTCAGTTCGGCACGGGAAGGGGCCATGGCTTCGGCGCGCCCTAAAGAGAAAGAGCCAAGACAGAGAAGAGCGAGACCAGGAGGCCGAGGACCGACAGAAAGGAGAGAGAAGAGGAGGACGACCCGCGAAAGAAAACCAGGACCCTCACCCGGAAAACCCTTGGTGGCGTCAAAGAGGCGGCTCTGGACGAAAGCCCGGTAATCAAGATGGGCATCAGCACAGCCTACACTGTCCGGCAAGAGAGTGCCCAAAGCGGGGCAGAGCAGGAGGGCAAGTCTAGCCCACGAGGAGGCCCATCGCCGCAGCCGGGGCCTAACAGCATCCTGTCGAACTCGAGCGTAAGTCCAGTAGTCAATGCCCAAGCCGGTGACGGGTTCTGGGATCTCGTTATCCCTAGTCGGGTGGTCGGCAGGCATGTACCTGGTAGGGGCATAGAGCGAGCCGGGGTACAATCCACCCGCTAGGCAGATCATGGATGATCTCTTGGCAGCGTGTCGCAAGCTCCTCGAAGAGGACCGGCCTTTTGCAAGAGAAGAGAGGGCGACGTAAGAGTCGCAGAGCACGGGGAATCGCGAAGGCCCGTGGAGAAGGGCGACTTTTTGGTAAAGTCGACACAACACGGAACTCTCGAGGATGTTTATGTGAACACCGGAGGGCCTTGACGGCCAAGCCCAAGACGAGTCAACCTTCCAACGCAGTGAAAGACAGAGGTCGTTGACAGATTGCCGCTCCAAGCCCTCAACCTGGAGGTCAAGCTGACGCATGCACGCAAGGCGGCCCCTGACGGCAGAGGAGAGTGCACGACCAAAGGCAACCACGAGCCCAGAGGTAAGGCTGAAACCTCGGCGGGAGGAGCCTGATGCTGAAGGGGCGTGCTTGGCAGAGCAGCCGCAACGCAAGGCAAGACCGTTGCAAGGGAAACCCGAGGACAGACAGGCAAGTGCACGAAGGCGCCGGTCACCGAAAGCACAAGAGTCCAGCCTGAAGTCAGCACACCCCGCTCGAGAGGCAAGTGAGGTCCACAGAGGAGTGGAGACCGAGCAACAGGAGGCAGGTTGAACGAGGAGGCACGCGGCCCCTCTCCTGACACAGTGCCTGAAGACCAAAACACACAGGCGCCAAGCCTCCTCTTCGAAATCCGCGAGCTCGGCGGCAACATCCTCAAGCCTGGCTGATGCAACTCGAGAGCGGCAAGGCGGAGAGAGGAAAACCGCAAGGAGGGAACCCGAATCGAGAAGGTGAAGGACCCATTCGGCGACGACCAGAATGTGCGGCCAGATGCCTTTCGAAGGCGACAGGTCAACAAACGGGCCAGCAGCAATGCCAAGAAGGGCCAACTCGGAAGAGACCTGAGGAGGGCCAATGGAAAGCTCCAGGAAAGCGAACCGAAAAGCCAACGGTCGAGGACAGGAGCTCGGAGCAGGATCATGTGGCAGTTCCTCGAACAACGGGTCGTACTCCTTCAGCACACGGCCGGCCTGGGAGGCTAAGCGGGCATAGGCGCCCTTCCGGTCAGATGTGAGCCACAGGCTCTGAGATAGCTGCTTTGGGATCTGGGCCGAGACAAAAGCACCCTTGCCCTCAGAAGAGTCGGTGGCGAAGAGGCGAGGGAGGTAACCAGCTGCAACATCGCTCACCATCAGAGGTGCCAGCAGCGAGATAAGCTGAAGCTCGCAAGCAACGCCCCGAGGCAGGGAGACAATGCGAGGCTCCCCGGAAGAAACACTGGAAGACGGAACAAGCCCATAGGATTGCTGCAAGCACGCGGTCACTGGGCGGCGAAACATGGCAGCCGAAATCCAGGCGCCGACCAAGCAAACATGCAGACAGTCTGTGGTGGCAGGCAAGGTGGCGACTTCAATGCTAATGTCGGCTAAAGCCAACCTTTTCGCAGCAGGGGCTGACACCAAAGCATGCCCACGGCGAAGGGCTGACCATGAGGAGTTGAGCTCGGCTCCAGCCGCCTTACCCTGCATAACGTCAACAAGATCTTTCTCGGGAGACCCCAAGATCCCGTGGCAGTCGTAGGTCTCAATGGCTCGTTTGAGGGCGTCATGGCTTGGAGAAGGGACAGGACCAGATGCTCGGAGGAGAGAGGCCTGGGACACACGGCTGATGCTGAAATAATCGTCGATTACCAAAGCATCCCAAGAAGGCCCCGGCCCAACCGGGCGAGCGCCGAGGATACGGTCAGGGTCCTTTAGGAGGCCAACTCCCTGCAACAACCTCTCGTGTGCAGCGACGGCCACCTCAACACCCAAATGGTCACCTTGAAGAACTGCTCGAAAGCACGGCTGAACCAATGCCGGCCAGCACGGAAGAAACGGGAGATCGAGGTCGCGAGCAGGCACACCGACAAGCCCAGGACGGCAACGAGCCGCAAGACGCTCAAAAGCTCTGCTCCCAGCGAAACATTCAGGAGGCATAGCTGGAAAGAGACGGTTGGAAGAGGCTCTAAGGCCCGAGCATCCAAGTTGGTGGTAGTAGTCACGCCTGTCTGACATGGACAACACCAAAGCCTCAGAAGAGGCGTCGAGGCTGAGCGCACACAGGGCGTCACCTCCTGGAAGATGCTTGCTTGGCCCCGGGAGTTTCGACTCAACGGAGTTGGGACCTCTGCGGTCTCCTATCTGCCTGTCTTGAGATAGGTTTTTATACGCGTTAAAGATCCGCGTGTAGAGATGGAGGGGAAGGTCGACGGCAGGCTCGAGGTGCAAAAGGTCGAGCTGTGACCATTTCTCCGCAAGCTTCTGGGTCTCCTGGGCAGACTCTCGGTCGACCTGAGGGTATTCCTCAGGCTCAGGAATGCGGTCACACAGGAGGGACCCAGGCATGACAAAGGCCATGGCAAGGTCGGGCGGAAGGAACTGGACGGGGTCCCAATTAGCACGGCCTACCAACTTCAGCCTGTCAGCGTCCAAGGCTCTGTAAGGCTGCAGGTCCTCACCATCGTTGCGAGGGGGGACAGGCAGTCCCTCAGGCACAAAAGAGTAAGGGTCCCCAATGGGGGCGCACCGCTGAGCTCAGCCAGTCGAGCAATAAGTGAATTCATTCTGCGGCCAGTGTCGGCGGGCTTCTGCTCCGCCTCTACTTCACCGAAAGTCCGAACCAGTCCTTGCAGATAACGAAGGCAGCGAGCCTGAGCAGCATTCGGAGGCCGAGCCAAAAGGTGCAGGGGAACGTAGCGGCTGTCAAAATACACGAAATTGATTGCCATCACCGCTGCATGGAGGGCTATGCGGGCTGCTGCTTTCAGGCGTTGTCGTTGACCTGCGCGGCCTAGGGGCTTAAAGCAACCTGGCGAAGGAACCGGCAAAGGCAAAAGGACGTCTGCTGGGGCCTCGGGGCCGCACCAGCTCAGATGCAAAGTTTTAGAAAAGAACCTCGAGAAGGCAGTCTTCGCTGCACGTAGGCGGGGCTCGAGGCTGAAGGCCCACCGAGCAAATGAAAGCGCTCGGTCTGGGGAAAATTTAGAACACTCACCTCCTGCTGGAGGAGGGCTGCACGGGGAAGCAAGCTGGGCCGCCGAACTCAAAGGCGGAGAGGCCACAGGCACATCCGGGCAGGATCGTGGTACAGGTAACGTGGGCTCAGGCCGGCAAAAGCTAGGCACGGGATTCGAAGGGGCATTTGGCGACAAGGGCCGGGGCAGCGACCCAGACCGAAGGAGGTCTACTGATCCTCTCCTTTCGGCTTCCTGGGATAACGAGGCTTCCGCTTTGGGGCCGCAGGCGTCTCCTCCGTGGCGTCGGCTGGAGGATTCCGAGGCGGGTCCTTTCTCCGGGTGGCTAGTGTCTCGACCTCGCGGGTAAAAGCCAGGGCCGTGGACCCCCAAGACGGTGTGACCAGAGGACTGAAGGCACGCATCCGGGACCCCGATGAGGCGGGGCGAGCCGCAAAAACCTGAGGAGCTGGCTCCTCCAGCAGGCACAACAGGTAGGCCATCGACCAATTCTGGTCCTGACTCGCCTGCTCGGCTGAAGCCATGAGGAGCCCTAGATGTTCTTGAGCACCAGGCACGTCTTCTTGGAGAAGGGCGTCCGCTATAAAAGCCAACTGGTGCATAACCAACCCCAGGTCCCGACTCCGGCTGTAGCCTCCGAACCTCTCTAGGTAAGTCACAAAGCTGAGCCTCCCATCCTGCTGCATGGCCTGCAGAGTCGAGGGAAGCGGGGCCGCAGGGTAAAGTCGGCGAAATGCATTTTGACAAACCTGGAGGAAAAAGTTCCCGCTGCGTTGGGCAAGGTCGGCCTGCAGCTTCTCTCTCTTTGCTGAGCCGCGCGAGGTGGTCGGGACTGAAGTCAAGTCCACCGAGTCCCCCTGGGCCGCCAAGTGGGAGACGAGGAGCGAGAGGGCCTGGCCCTGTTGAGCAATCGCATGGGCCAACGGATCTGAAGGTGCAGGGGTACCACCCGGCGCCGGCGGCAGTGGCACCGTGGGGGTCGATGTAGGACCTGGGGCCTTCGCCTTGATGCCTAGAGCCTTCCCTGCAGGAGGCAGCTGAGCAGCCACCGCAGCCAAAGGAGGAGGGGCCTGAGCGGCAGAAGCAGCTAACACCGGAAAATCCTGAAGATGAGGTGCCGGGGCAACCGGAGGTGCCTTGGGTCCGGAGGCTTGCTTCTCGGACAACACACGCACCTGATCCACAAGGCTGGGCAAAAGGGAAGCCAATTGATTCACCTGCTCCGCTAGCTGCGCTGTGGTTATCCTTTTTGCCTTCGCGGCGGGACGCTTCGGAGCCGCCCCAGTGGGGGCTTCCTCCTCCTCCTCCGCTGCCGTAAAGTAGGCCATCTGGGGGGCATCGCTGCCAGTCACCCACTGGATCGCAGCAGCCATCAGGTCTTCCTCCGCAGGCATTATGTGGGCCTGGTCGGGCTCGTATCCTACCACCGTCGGGGAATCCGTGACAGGATCGAAGAGAGCCATCGAAAGGAGCACAGCCTCCTCCACATCCAGGAGAAAAACCGAAACCTCCACATCCACAGCATGGTCCTCCCCAGCTTCGTTCTCCTCCACCCCAGGAACCATCACCACATTGGAGGGACCAAAAGTGGTCTGGCCCTCCACAGCCGAGGCTTGCTGAGCTAGAGGCTGGAACTCGAGGGGAAGCGCCAAAAGCAGGGCACCAGGGCGCCGAAGCAGGGGAATTGCCAGGTAACGAGTCTGAGGCTGCGAAGTAGGCTGCAAAGGCCATGCTAAGGTACATAGGCGTCCGGGCGAGGCGCCGTCGATCTGAAGGTTCTCCAAGTTCATCTCTGCGGCGGGAAGGGCACACCCGCTGAAATGCAATAGACACGGGCCTCGGCAAGAGAAGGGAAAGATTGGCACACAGTGCTGCTCCCCTCAAGGAAGCCCACAGCAGCTCGGAGAGCTGAGAAAGAAGAAAAACGAGCAGGGCCAGACAAGTGCTCGCTTCGAAGCACAATGTAGACCGCGGGCCTGAGATTGATGACAGGGGCCGGCGAAGGAGTCGCGACCTTGTTGTCAAGCACAGCTCTGGCCCACTGACCGGCCAACCAAGCTCTGCGGGCCCGGTCGGAGGGAGAGAGACCAGAGGCCCGACCCAGCCTCTCGCACAGCTCAAGGCAGTGAACAGGGCACTCGGCAAAAGAAGCAGCAATATCAGACCGGCTGGTCGTGGCAGTGGGGAAACCTCTAGGGGCCCTAGGGGGAAGGGAGTCGGCAGAACCCCTAGCGGGACTAGGATCCCTAACAACCACCCAAGGAGAGGTCTCACGCTCGTGATCCTCAACAGAGATGCGGAGCCTCTCAAGGGCTCGCTGGACCTCACCGATGGTATCAGCAAGGTCAGAGCCGCCCATGCACGGCGTAAGCACGCAACCGGAGATCAGGACGCCGAGCAGCAGGCTCAGGCAAATGCGAGGCAGCCGGTGGAGGGTCAGAGGAAAGGGGCCTTGCGAGGAGGAGGTGGCGAAGGCAGTAGAGGGTCACCAGGGACCCGGCACAAAAGCCACCCGACCAGAGGGCCACAGCAAACCCCAAGGACCCTGAACCGTGACCCGGACAAGCAAGACCAAACCAGCCCGAAGCCGACCCCTGGACGACAAAGGACAGGAGAGTCGAGAGGGCCTCACTAAAGGGCATTCGAGCGAAAACTACGGATGCATGGAAAGACTCGCAACTAGTACACAGCCCATCATAGGGTAGGGCTCCCCATTAAGGGTCCCTCCTTTTCCCCTTTGAGCTTCCAGCGTAAAGGGCCAGGGCATAGGCTCCCAGAGACTCCAATATCCCTTAATTGAGGAATATACCTTAAATCATATAAGGGATCCTACCATAATTTAAGGAATATTCCTTAAATAAGGGATGTTGGAGTCTCTGGGCTTCGCGAGGATTGATCGCAACAGAATTGACGGGCCAGGTTGAGTTCAGGGTGCTGGGGCCCTGCACTGGTTTAGGGATTTAGGGTTTAGGGTTTAGGGTTTAGGGTTTAGGGGTTTAGGGTTTAGGGTTTAGGGGTTTAGGGTTTAGGGTTTAGGGTTTAGAGTTTTAGGTTAGAAGGGGCCCCCACCCTGTAATAGTGGTATAATAGGAATATAATAGGGCCCTACTATAATCCTCATAGTCACTATTACAGGGTGGGGGCCCCCTTCTAAGGTTTAGGGCTTAGGGTTCAGAGTTAGGCTCCAAGGTCAGGGCCAAATATCCCTTACTAGTACTAACAAGGTGACGGCAACAGCAGGTCCCTTTTCGGGTGCCCAGAGACTCCAATATCCCTTAATTGAGGAATATTCCCGAAATCAGATTAGGGGTCCTACTATAGTTTAAGGTATATTCCTGAATTAAGGGGTTTTGGAGTCTCTGGGAAGGTGACGGTAACAGCTGTTACAACAGTAATACGCTTGACATCTAGGAATGCCTAGAGATAGTAGCTGCACAGACATATACGCTAATATAGGGGCCGAAGTAATTATCAACATTATTCCTAAGGCTACCTATTATAGTTACAGTATAGTGTATAGTGGGCCCCAAAATCCTATTCTAAGTAATCAGGCCCTTTTGTATCCTCTATCAAGAATGCACAAAGGTTAAGAAGACGAGCCTTGGCAGGAACAGACCCAAATGTTGGCCCGGAGTACGTGGTAATTCCCTAGAGATCCCACTATATACTATACACCCCTCAGAACCATAATAGAAAGAGTATTTTAAAGAATCTCTTGGGCTTTCAATACACAAAAGCAATTCCTAGGAGGCTGTAGTATACTCCGTATCGCACCCCAAGCAATCCCGGCCTGACTATCGAGGTGCCTCTGATGACTTTACACACACATACTTGGAAGGCCAGGGGGCTTAGTAAGTAGGTTATAAGTAGAGTTGTAAGTACCCCAAATGGAGTTACCCCAATTATAATCCTACTTATAACCTACTTACTAAGTCCCCTGCCCTTCCAAGTACTGCTAAGGCCACCCCTGAACCTTCGGAGGAGCCTCAGGTTTTAGGAGTTCGGGTTGAGGGTTTAGGGCTACCTCCCAACACCCCTAGAACTGATAGCAAAAGCCCCACACACTAACACCCGAAGCCCCAGGAATCCCAAGGTCCGGCTGAAACCCTGAAACCCGAAAGCTCAACCGTTCGGGTTTAGGGTTTAGGGTTTAGGGTTTAGGTTTAGGGTTTAGGGAGACCTGAAGGCCTCAAACCCAAACCCTTCAAAAGCCGTCCCTCAAAAGGCCCTAGAACCCTACCTTGTAAAACAACCTTTCAACATGCTGACGGCCCAACACTCCTTGCCCGGCACCGGGATATGTGCCCCCTGCACTCTCAGTGGAGGAATAACCTGCAAAGGTTTAGCAATGTGCACTCGCCGGACCCACACTTATCCCTTCATTCGGGATGCTCCTTTATCTGTAACATCCTTTGCCTGGGCTGCTCTGTAATCGATAGTATCTTTTGATGCCACCTCTAGCAAAGTTGCTTCCAAGACCAAAGCTGCAAAATGATTACCTTTTGGTTAAGCGTCTCAACCCTAAACCCTAAACCCTAAACCAGGGTTTAGGTGGCAACCCTTTTGATGCAAAAAGCAAGCAAATTCGGGGCGCCCCCTGTCTGAGTTGCAATTTCGCCTGGCAAAGGTTGCTACTGGTTTGCCTGAGCCCGTGATTTAGGGTTTCAGGGTTTAGGGTTTAGGGTTTTGGAGTTTTGGGTTTGCTTAGGGTTTTGTCAACCTAACCCAAACCCCACAGTAACAGTTCACACAGCTGCAAACCACAATGTCGTTTCTCGTGCCGGGGCGTGACCTAAGGAGAATGTAGGTCATCAGCGAGTTATTAAAGCTGAGATTTTCCACCTGCACAGGGATTTTGAAAGGCTGGTGTTGGGACGTCTGGTGCTCTGAAACTGCCTCTAAAGATCTGGGGCAGAAGCGCCGAGGGTAGCATAAGGTCAATGACGAAAGGGCACAGGCGAAGAACCAGAGGTTAATGATGAGGACGATGCTAACGATGAGGACGATGGTGACGATGATGACAGTAATGACCACGAAGATGAAGATTCAAATGAGGAGGATGATGATGATGATGGTGATGATGATGCTCATGACGATGGTGATGATGACTGATGACGGCAAGCTCATTCTGAGTGTTTGCTTCATGTGTGCGTTATGTGTATCTGCGTCTATGTATACATATGTACGTGTATGTGTATATATACATATATACATGTACCAGTGTACAAAAAAACATATATATATATATATACACACACATGCACATTTTCCACACCTGCAACAAAACGCTTGGTTACATTGAAGGTGTCCGTCGTCGTGACAGTGGGTACCAGGCCTTCGGCTTTTCCGCCTGATGCAGGCTTCTGGGGCGGTTTCTTTCTTAGGCTTTAGGACCCTGTGTTGGGGCTGACTTTATGCGGGAGGTCGCGGGAGGAAGGGGTGATTTTCATTAAATAAAAACTGCCCCCCAATATTGAATACCCTTTTTCGGGAGCACCTGGCACCCGAAGAGGTGGTTTTAAACGGGCCAAGACTACGGAGGCGCTATTAGGGAGACACAACATTCCAGCAAACAAGGGACCTGTAGCTAAATACTTACCCTGTATCGAATCTCTCTTTCGCTCTCTGTGGCTATCTCGCAGAGTTGACAGTAATACTAGTAATCGTACGTGCACCAATACTGTACCAATACCCGTAGGAAGTAATAGCTAGAGCAGCAATGCTAATCGTCATCGTCGTAGTAGTAGTAGTAGTAGCATTCATTCCTCACGCAGCGAAGAATCCGATTCGCCTAGCGAGCTGACTGCATTCACGATTTCATGAATGCAGGAGCCTCTTATGGGCTCTGAAGGGCCATTGGCCTGCTTCATCCTTAGTTTCTACTCTCTACTTTGTGCCTCATTTGAGCAAGTACTAGTAGTAGTAGCAGTAGCAGTAGCAGTAGCAGCAGCAGCAGCAGCAGCAGCAGGAGTAGTAGTAGTAGTAGTAGTAGTAGTAGTAGTAGTAGTAGTAGTAGGGATAGCAGTAGTAGTAGTAGCAGCAGTAGTAGTAGTAGGAGGAGGAGGAGGAGGAGCAGGAGGAGGAGGAGGAGGAGGAACATTTGTGATAGTAATATTGGCAATAACCGTGATTGATATTCGCAATAATGGAAATACTCGTAGTAGTAGTCGTAGTCGTAGCAGTAGCGGTAGCAGTAGCAGTAGGAGTGGCAGTAGTAATAGTAGCAGCATAAGTAGTAGTATAAGTAGGAGAGATGATGGTAATACTAAGGATAATGGCAATATGACAGTAGTACAAACAGTTACTGCAAGAGGGAAAGACGGGGTAGAAGAAACAGCAACAGCAATTGTAAGAGTAGTGTTGCTAGTGATAGTACTAGTGTCAGTGCAGGAATGAGAACAATAGTAAGGCCAGAAATTATGCTATCATAAACACCGAACAGTGAAAGGGCCTCAAACGGCACAACATCTACTACAGGTGAAAGGGTTGTAATTGCACGGGCTCCACAAGGGTTCTATAAGTGTTCTCCAGGCTGTTGGAAAGAACCTCATTGTTCTCGAAAACTTCCGACGCACCTCAGCGGGCCTGTCGCGCGTGCTCTGCGGCGAACATCAACTTAGGCCTCTTTGCCTTAACGTAAGATCCCCCCGCCCCGCCCGTTGTTGGCACACCATTTACAATAAAAGGTCCTGGTGCAAAACAATCGAAAGTTCAGTGCTCGAAACCACCTTATGGCAAGCTCTAATTCTCGACCTTTGAAGAAGGCAGGCCAGGCTCTCACATCAGCACAGCCCCCGCGAATCCTGGAGCAAGCTTGCCTCGAGAAGCTTTTCGTACTCTTTCGCAACCTCTTCCTCGTGTTCGGACCATTGCCATTCCAAGTCCTCGCACAGCTGCGGTCAGGTGGCTTCGGATTGTGCATGGTCTGGTGTGGGGACAGGAAGGTGTAGTCGGGTTTTGCGTGCCGGTGCATGTGTGTGTACTTTCTACACACACAAAATGGGTTGTATGTGTGTATATATATATATATATATATAAATTATAAATATAGAACTTATGCACTTATCTATTTACTAATGTACCTATTGACAGATTGATAATTATTCATTAATATTCATTTACATTAAAACTTTTATTTGAACACATATATACATATATGTACACAGACGTGTGTCCTTGCATAAGTAAGCGCGCTCGTGGCTTTCAGAATTTGCAAGGAAGTAAGACATGGTATGCATCTGCATTCGCACGCGGACCTGCATGTGCAAGAGTCTCTGCATGTATGCTACATGGGCACACGGACTCATGCATACACGAGTGGTTCCGGTGTTTGCATCTCAGGAGTTGGGATGGTCTGCCTCTCGGGTGCAGATACCTGCGACTGAACACATATGTGCACGTGCATGTCCTTGGCCGCACTGCGGCTTAAATGAACAAGAAACACACACGCAGCCTACACAAGCCAGAATTCATGGATGCATACATGCGTACATGCTTTATGTGTATATGTATACATATATATATATATATATATATTAGATTATGTTATATGATATGATATTATATATACATATATTTGATATTTATGTTTATATATATAGACGGTAGATAGATAAACAGATAGAAAGATACGTGCCTAGACACGAATGCATGCATGCGTGAGCATAGATGCTCATGCATATGTAGACATTCATGCACGCTTGGCTGCATACCGAGAGAGATATAGGGAACATGTATGGCATGCTTCAGGCACATGTACGTACTTGCTGTAAAAACACACACTATATTCTACTATGCTATATTAAAGTATAAGACCTTATACTGTAGCATTGTCTGCTTTATCTTGCTTCATTTTAGATAAGTTCGAACTTAGTATTATCACCACCGGTCCTTGCGTATGGAGCGCACAGTCCCGGTGATATATCTGCTCGGATTTCTCAAGGAGGTGCGCCAGTGCTCTTTGTTGTAGAGCTGATAGAGCTGCCGATATAGCGCCTGTGACGGTGTGGGGTTTAGGGTTTAGCGTTTAGGGCTTAGGGTGTAGGGCTTAAGGTTTAAGGTTTAGCGCTTAAATTTTAGGGTGTAGGGCCTAGGGTTTAAGGTTTAGCGTTTATGTTTAGGGTGTAGGGCTTAGGGTCTAAGGTTTAGGGTTGAGGACCCGGAGATTGAACCCTAAACCCTATATTCCCCTCAAACTCTAGGCCCCCAAACCCTAAACCCTAGCCCAACCAATCGAGAACACAACTTCCTGTTGTTTTCAGGTGTTAGAGCTGTTTGGGTTGAGAGGTTCGGGCTTCGGCAATTCCTAAACCCTGAAGCCCTATTGAGCGACCACAGCAGTGTCATCCCGCGCGAAGCAACCCTGAACCCCTAAACCCTAAAGCTCATGTGCCGTAGCAGCTGCCGGGAATAGAGTGCCACAAGGGCTAGAAGAGGTGCCGAGAGTTTTGCGGTTCATGGTTGGCAGTAGAAGCTTTAAAGTTGGAACAGTATAGTCCTGATGCCCTTAAGGTAAGGTAAGGCACGAGGGATCCTAGTGGTCCCAGCACTGATCATCCTAAACCCTAAACCCTAAACCCTAAACCTTCAACCCCGACACTGATCATCCTATATAAACCCATGTTCCGACTTTCTGAGGTTCACTTTTTGGGGGGCCTCCTGGGTTCTAGGAGGGACTTAGAGTGGTTCGATAAGGGCTCTATGAGCGGTAATATAGGCACCTATATAAGACGGTCTATATGTTACCGGAAACTTAGGGTTCTAGAAGGGATGTATAGTGGTTCTATGAGCAAGGCTCTATGAGCAGTAATACAGGCACCCACATAAGATAGCCAGCCTTGGCACAATGTGCTAATAGCACAAAGATGCCAACGGGATGATCGGTGCACCACTATTATCGCAGATGCAACGTGATTATCCGCTTGTAATCCCGATGAGGAGGATGATAATGAAAATCGTGGCCGTATTCGTGAACATGATCGATCTGATATGACTATGAGAGTGACGATATTTCGAAGATGAAGACGATGATGGGAATGACGGCAGTCATGATCATGATGATGATGATGGAAGTCGTGATGATAGTGATAACCATGATGGTAATGATGATGCAGGTGACGGTGATAATGCTGATGATGATGATAATGTAGGTGATGGTAATCACGATGATCATCATCATGATGATGACGGCTTGGCTTTCATGTGGCTCAGGAAACTTAGTACTGCAAGACTCGATTTCTGGAGGCAATTCGCACAAACACAACGACTTCACGGCATGAACATGAGTTGCTGTGCGCACTGGGGCCGTGCACTCGACACCCAGATATGCAGGTTGAAAATGCTGGGCACTCGGCAGCTTCAGAAAACAAGGGGCCCTAACATAGACCCCTGTTAATTGCTCTAGTAACGTAGAAAGACTCCTTGCCTTAGGAGTTCGCATTTCGACCTGTGTGTGTGTGTATATATATATATGTGGAAGTGCATGGCGCTTCGTTGCTTTGAGCCCCAAATCCCCTTGTAGTTCCGCCTGCCCGAAGCACTCATCACTGAACCGACAACCAAAATCCGAAGCCGAAAATTGAACCCCAAACCCCGACCGGAAACTCCAGCCTAAATTCCATAGGGTTGATGATATAAATCCTGCATTACCTTAAGGAGCCTAAACTATCGGAACTATGGTATATTCCTTGTTCTGGGTAATGCAGGGTTTCTATCATCAATCGTATCATCCCGAACCCTGAAGGTGTAACTCAAACCGGCCCAATCCTGCCGCCTGCCTGTTGGACGCAAGGCTGCTCGTCAGTTACCAGCTTTTCCGCTTCCTGCATGGCAAGCAGTACAGGGTTTCGGGCCTGGGGATTAGGGTTTAGGGTTCAGGGGTTTCAGTCGAGCACTTGTAGGAGCTCAGACTTCCATGCAAGACAACACTCTTTTCAATCCTGAACTTGTCACCCCCAAACCCGAAAAACCCCAAAAGAACCACCCCCAAACTCACTAAACCCTGAAGCCCTCAAAACCCTGAAGCCCCCAAAACTCTAAACCCCTGGCCCCATTTTCAAAACCCAAAGCCCTGGCCCTAAACCCAAGTGCCTGCAATGAGTTGACAGGTTGGGCTGGACCCTTTGCTTCGAGCAGAGCAACTGCAGAGATAGATAGATTAGATGGATGGATGGATGGATGGATGGAGGGATGGAGGGATGGATGGACGGATGCATGGATGCGTCGATGAACCGATGGTTGGATGGATAGATGGATAGGTAGATAGGTAGATCCGACAGACAGGCAGACTAGCGGACAGAGTGACTAAGTTTGTGAGTACGTGATTGCGGGGTTGGTTGGTTGATTGATTGATTGATTGATTGATGGATTGATTGATTGATTGATTGATTGATTGATGGATTGGCTGATTGATTGCATGATTTATTGATTAATGTGATCCTTGGGATAAAGGGCTTAGAGGGTCATGGTAGAACTTAGAAGTAGTACTCGCCATTCTATGACGAGCATCATCTCGGCAACGGCAGCGGCACAAAAAACAAAGATAGGGCTTAGGGTTGAGGACTTCGGCTACAAAGATAGCGCAGAAGCTTGAATAAATGGCAACACCTTTTCCTTACGTTCCTTATAGTAGCTATACGAAAACAAATCTTCCAAATCGTATTCTGATTAACAAGGCCCCTATGCTAAACCTTGGAAAGACCCGATAGAATCATATAAAACAAACACTTAAAGCCCCCTTCCAGAAACCGTTACGGTTGATGATATAGATCCTGCATGACCCATAACAAGGAACATACCGTAATTCCCATATATTCCTTATTATGGGTAATGCAGGATTTATATCACCAACCGTTAGCAGCATGCCTCATCCAAGTCCAGGTTCCGCCTCAGCCACGTCAGAGCGCAAGACGCAAACCCAAGAAACCCGGGCGAAGCAAAATGAACCAGTCTGCCTGAAAAAAAGGATCAGTAGGGCTTGGGTCTCAGGGCTTAGGGTTTAAGCGACATCCTATGACTTGAAGTCCACGAAGAATGCGTTTGCCTCAACCCTAGACCAGACGTTTAAGGTTTAGGGTTCTTTCGGCTCCTCAATGCGAACATGAGCGAAGTCGTACTCACCTAGGAGCGAGCATTCCCATCACCGGAGACTCTTGCCTGAAAAAAGTTAGAAGGTTTAGGGCTTTAGGGTTTAGGGAGGTTAGGGTTGGGTTCTTGAGGGTTCAAGCACAAGCTCTTTAGGTCTTGGACATTCGAAAAGCCTGCCATGTTGCATTGTGTTAGCTTATCTAGTCCTCTACTACACTATATTAGACTTGACGATACTATATCTATATCACATTATACGACAGTTCATTAATGTTCCCCCTGGAAGGTCTTTGGCTCGAAACCGAAACCCATGATTGATTAGGAAACGCCCACTTTTCTCAGGCCGCTGAACATGGATCCTGCTCTGAAGCCGGGTTATGTACGGGTGCCTTGATCATAAAAGCCCTCAGCGGTTCGGTCGGAAGGGACCTGCATGACTAGAATAGGGCTTCGGGGTTCAATAGTTTAGGGTTTAGGCTTTAGGCTTTAGGATTCAGGGTATATTATACTATGATTCTAGACAGCGATACCAGGCCCCTGTATACAGCTGCGTCTGGCTTGCGACCAAGGTACAGAATCCACTCCACGTCTTTTCTGCGATCCTGCAAGGAAAGGATTACTGTCAACACTAGACATTGGACCATGGCTGTAGCCTAGCACAAAAGCAGCCTGATTAGGTGAGGACGGTCAGGGTGTAGGATTTGGGTTTTGGGAGTTTACGAGCCATGGTTCGGGATTGGATCTGTTCTTATCTAGGCTGGCCCTCGGATATGCGTAAGTCAGCTCCTCCTCCAAGACCCAAAGGTCTATCTGATATAGGGCCGCTCATTGTCAGAATAGGTTTGAACTAGAGAAAACTACAATGGGACTACGTTGAGACCTTCATACCAAACATTCAGACCAAGCCTGAAACCAAGGAAGATCTGGAGGTCGAACCATCAACCAAAAACCTCTGGACCGCTGATTAAATGCCAAAGCCTGGCCCCTAAACCTCCCAAATCCAAATCCTAAACCCTGAGGCCTGTAATATACAGGCCTTAATAATTAGAATAGGGTTTTGGGGCCCAGAAAGCCTGAACCCAAAACCCTACACCGTGAACACCACAGCAGACCTTCTCGAATCTCTCCCTGTTGGACCGCTGAGGGTCGTGAGTCGCCTCGCTCCAAGCTGAAATGGGAGTTTCTGAAAACAGGAGACCCTAATGATGTAGTACCCTCAATAGTAGGATCCTTATCATAAGGACCCCAACATAAATAAGGTACCCCTAGTTTTCGGAAACTCCCAAATGGCTGCTTGATCGAGTTCTGGGTCCCAAACGCCAAAGCGAAAACCCTAAGGACATCAGCTAAAACCCCACAAAGGTGACCCTAAACTCCAAAGAGATCAACTTGAACCCTGAAGTTGCGTGATCTGAGCCTCTAGGTCTCTAGGTGTTTGGCTACTGGAACCCACTTTGAGGCTTTGGGCTTAGGGCTTCTTGGCTTGATGGCTTCAGGGGTTCGGGGCTTCACGGGTTTAGGACCCGGCTTGCTCGCCTCCGAGCCCTAAAACCCTAAACCCTAAAACCCTAAACCCTAAACCCTTAAAACCCTACGCACACCCGATACACTCCCAACCTCGAACCCTAAGCCCGATAGGCCCTGAACCCCAACATAAAGGCCGAAGCAATTAGACTCGGGTTTGGGCATGTGCTTATTCATATTCATATTCATATTCATATATATATATATATATATATATTATATATCATATATATATATATATATATATATATATATATATATATATATATATATATATATATATATATATATAATATATATATATATAATATATATATATAATATATATATATATATATATGTATATGTATATGTATATGTATATTTATGTGTATATATACAAATCAGAATTCCATATGTATGAACAAGAAACCCAAGAAGCATTGTTGGCAATTATGTAAGCTCCTACATTGCACCCTGAACCCGAAACCTTACCGGTTAAGGGTCTCGGGCGTAAGCTGTCACGATGCTCAGAGCAATGGAGGGAAAGGCTGGGAACTTGGGCTTAACACGGTTTAGGGTTTAGGGTTTAGGGTTTAGGGTTTAGGGTTTAGGGTCGGGACTAGGGCTCAAAGCTAAGGGTTTAGGGCTTATTTTGAGGCCCGACCCCCCAACCTGAAACCGCAGTCCCTATGATTTAGTAAACAACGACAGACTCTAGTTGTGAAATCGAATCAGAAGCGCAACTTGAAGGCTACTGTTCAGGGGTTCAGATTTTAGGGTGCGTCGCTTCGGTTTTGAACTTCATGCTCTGCCTGTTGATCCTCATCTTAATTCAAGGCTCTGCTTGCAGCAAACCGTAAACCCACAGCCCTGAACCCTGAAGGTTTCCAACAAAAGGGTCACTATAGGGGACTAGTACAGGGGCCTAAATGACTGAGAATAGGGTTGTAAGGGCTTTGGGCATATCCTACTGGAATCATAGGGACTATCAGGGAACACTAGTACCAATCGTTCCGATCCCTATGGAGCCCTCCACTTCGGAAGCCGTCAAGACCCCGAAGCTCGTGGGGTTTTAGGGTTTAGGGCGATTCCGGACGACCCCTAAACTCCCCTAAGCCGCAAGAAACCCCAAGAAGCAAACGAAAAAAAATGTTTCAAATGTCCCAAGGCGCCTAAACAATCCCAAATATTATATAACCCTCGGCCCTAAGCGCAAAACCTCTTCAAATCCACAAAAGTGGCTTCCAAAACCCCTATACCAGCCTTCATAACTAGACTAGGGCTTTGGGATATATTATACTCTACTTATGATAAGGAACCCCCACAATAGTAAACCCTAAACCCTAAACCCTAAACCCTACACCCTAAAGTTACGAAGCTTGGGTCCCTCGAACCTCCTCCCACTTGCCGGTGCTGTCCTCCCAGCTCGCCTCCTCCGGGATTCTAGGGCTTAGGGGCTTAGGGGCTTAGGGGTTTAGGGTTTAGGGGTTTAAGGCTTATCGTTTAGGGGTTGAGGGTTAAGGGGTTTAGGGTTTAGGGGTTTCGGGGTTTAGGGGCTAGGGTCTAGGGGTTTAGGGTCTAGGGGTTTAGGGTTTAGGGTTTAGAAGGGCAATAGCTTACGGTTTAAAGGGGCTCTGGGAAGAAGAGTTTTGGGTTCAGCAGCGTTCAAGAGCAAACGGAACTATCCCAAAAACCTAGCTTTTTGTAGCGTCCTCAGAAGTTGTACGTTAGGGCTTATGAGCAGAGCCTACGAAGAATAAAATAGGTTCTGGTAGCTTACGGTAGGGTTTTGGGCCAAAGAGCTTGTGGCTTTAAGTTGTCCCCGCCTCGTTCCATCTGACCATCTCTTTGGACCTGATGGCTTCGTGTGGCTTTTGCTTTTACGGTGCCGGGACGTGTTTTGGGTGCTGTAGATCAAAGCTTGGGTGCTTCATGATGTCCTGAAACCAGATCGATGGGGCTTAGACTCTGGAGTAGTCTGGACCGGCTTTGCCATGATGCTAGAAATTTTAACCACTGGTTTTGCAGTTCCGCAGTTGCTCCGCAACGGCGCTGCTATCGCCGCCGTGCTCGGGATCGCCCCAAGTGACGACCGACCCGTCCAAAAGGATGGCGGCAAAAGCAGAAGTGGTGGCCTGGATTCCTTGCACATTCCTGAGCTGCTGCTGGACGGCACTGCTGTCAGCACCAGTTCTCGCTTCTCCCCATGTGACCACGGATCCATCGCCCAGAATGGCAGCAAATGCTCCAGCTGAAGCTTGGATCTGCCGGACGTCCTTCAGTTGCACTCCGCTACTATCACCGCCGTAACGAGGCAAGCCCCAAGTCACGACCAATCCATCGGCCCGTATCGCAGCGAACGCACTGCTGTTCGCCTGGATCTGAACTACGTCTTGCAGTTGGTGTTGGACTCTGCTACTGTCACCACCACCGGTAGCCGCGCCCCATGTGATTACAGATCCATCGTCCAGAATTGCGGCAAACGCGTTCGCAGTGCTCTGCAGTTGCTGCACACCCCTCACTTCGACTACCGGGGATTCCACCTCCACCTCAGGGTCAGGGCTGTCCAAGCCTGCAAGGAAGACATCGAACGTAAACTCCACGCTTTTGTCCACGTTTGGGATCAGCTCGGTCCGGTATTTGGTGTCACCGCCAAGGCGTTCATTTCCCCAAGCGACCGCGGAGCCGTCACTCAAAATCGCAGCGAAAGCTTTGCTTGCAGCCTGAATGCTCCGCACGTTCTTCAGTTGTCCCTGAACTGTGCTGCTGTCACCTCCATAATCCGGATCTCCCCAAGTTACCACCGATCCGTCAGCCAGGATGGCAGCAAAAGCGCCTCGTGTAGCCTGAATCTGCTGTACATTCTTGAGTTGTTCCAGCACCGAGCTGTTGTCACCACCATACTCGGTAGGACCCCATGCTACCGCAGATCCATTGCCCAGGATGGCAGCAAATGTTTGGTGGCCACCCCGGAGTTGCTGCACATCTTTCAGCTGCTCCGCAACCGCAGTGCTGTCACCACCAAAGTCGGGACATCCCCAGGTGACTAGCCTGTGTTCTTGTTAAAGGACCTAATTTAAGGTACCACAGTAGGGACCCATAGTAAATATATAGATCCCATAAAAGAACCCTTGTAGATCCATGTTATGGTAACTTAAATGGGAGTTTCCGAGAATAGGGGACCCTAACATAGTACCTTAACTAGTAGGATCCTTACTATAAGGACCCCAAAATAATGCACTTCGGAAACTCCCAAATTAAGTTCCTCAACAAGGAACCCGTATAGATCCCTTAAAAGAACCCTTGTAGATCCCTGTGATAGTAACTTAAATTGGGTGGTTGTCAAAATTAGGGTCCCTTTCTGGGTACCCTAAATAATGAGTGCCGTATTATAATAGGGACCCAAAAAGAGACCATAATTTTGACAACCACCCAATTAAGTTCCTTACTATAAGGACCCCAAAATAAGGTAAACCCTTAAAATAAAAGAACCCTTGTAGATCCCTGCTATGGTAACTTAAACTAAGTTCCTGAACAAGGGACCCTAACATAAACCTTAACTAGTAGGATCCTTACTATAAGGACCCCAAAATAAGGTAACCCAAAGTAAGGTACCCCCTATTTTCGGAAACTCCGAAAGTACGTTCCTTAACAAGAATTATAATTTTAGCTGTTTCTTAGGGATTATAATAACCAAAAGTTGAAAATATTTCTAAGTAACCCTAACAAGAGCCCAAAATAATAGGGGACCCTAACATAGTACCCTAAATAGTAGGATCCTTGTTTTCAGAAACTCCCAAAGTAAGTTCCTCAACAAGAGCCCAGTAGCGATCGATCGGCTCGAAGAGCAGCGAAGGCACCGTGGGAGGCTTGCACCCACTGCACAGTCTTCAGTTGCTCCTGAACCTCACCTAGGGTTTAGGGTTTAGAGCTTTAAGGGTTTAGGGTTTTTTTTTTTTGAGCGCCTTTTTCCGTCTTGCTGGAATCCGGAACGCCTGTTTCAGACGAGACGACCTATGCCCCTCACTTGCCCTCGTAGTTCTCTGCATCATCAAGGTCCCCTGGTTCACCACTTTGATCCATCTGTTGCAACCGAGCCCTCAACTCAACTTCATCCGGTGTCCACACGACCTGACTCTCTTCTTGTCCCGCTCCAGCAGCAGGAGGATCTTCACTGTCCAACTGTGTACATCCCTCCAAAGCACGTTGAGCATGCATCATCTGAAGGACGTCCGGCCCATACTTGCGTACCACCTCTGAGTCTTCCAAGGCACCTGATTGCCAGCGGGGGTATTCCACACAGAAGAGGTCGAAGTCCATGGCCTCGAAACCCTGTTGTCCCGAGCTTGCACTAGCTTGACCTGAGTGTTCGACAACTCCCGGAGCCACGACGGTCTCAACCTCACTCTCGGGGACGTCTGTCGCCATATAGGCCTTGACTTGGATGTTGACCGTGCCTTCAGCCGGTACGGCGATGCTATGTCTGCGAGCCCAGCGAGGCCCATCCAATTCCCCTCCTTGGATGTCCACCTCCACGATCGCCCTTTTCCGTGAGGACCCCTGTGCGGGGCTTGCCGCATCACCGGACGCCACCACCCAATCTTCCCAGGACTGGTACTCTCGGGCTTGTCTTTTGAGCATTGCCTCTTCTTCCGCCTCCAATAATGCCAGCTCAGCCTCACGACCTGCCTCGTCTTTGGTCCGACTTGCTCGAGCCTCATGTTCCTCCTCCACATGTCGGTTGATCATTTCCGCTGAACAGTTGCCGTGAAGACTCTGTTCATGGCTCGAGCTCGCCCTCAATCTAGATCCCGTGCTTACCGTGTCCTGGCTATCCACCGGGATAACTCCCACCATGCGAATTGCCCTCTCCATTCCCGGCACGTAGTCCCGGAGCTGGTCCCCCCATAGCTGTAGGAAGACCTCGGACTCGCAGATTGGGAGAGTGCATTCGTTGACCACCATAGCTATGAGGAGGGCCATAAGTTGGTCCTGCCACTCCGACCACTCACTGCCAGTCACCGAACTCCACAAGCGAGCTCGCAACTGCAACACATTGCTTCGTCTCTCCTCCGGGGTTTGCACGGTGAGCTCCTTCTGGAGCTGGACCATCATCCGGTGCCACCTGGCTCGTCGCTCTACTTCCAACCCCGTTTGCATGAGAACCGTGGCGTCTCCAGCAGCAGCCCCTGGTGCATCTCGCTGAAGCCACGGCCGTCGGTTACGGCGATGAAGGGACCTTGACCGAGACAACCGCCGTTTCTCCTCCCTCTCGGCCACCTCCGCCATGGGCGAGACTTCGACACGTGTTGGGGCCACGGCAGCAATCTCAAGTTCCCGGTCCGCGTTTCTCAAGGCCACTGGACACACTCTGGCATACCACCATCTCCTCATTCTGGATGCCAGCTGCGTAGCCACTTCCATACACTCCTGCTCATTCGGGACTCCCATAGACACAAAGAGCGGGTCATCAGCAGCCGGCGCATAGTTCTGGAGCTCACGGATCACATAGTGCAAGACAGACTGGATTTCGATGTGGTACCTGTCATCCTGCACCCTCTGCACGGCTCCCCTCACACACTGTACGACGTCAGGAAGTGCTGCCCCGCGGTCAAGTAAGAGCTGGAGTCTTTCAGTCATGTCGTCGACCCAGTACGGTGCTTGCAGACGGGGCCATTCGTCCACACCTTGCCCCAGCGGGAGAAGAGCCAACAGCAGCGAGCCTCCCAGAGGGCCTCTCAGCCCGGTGAGGAATGTTCCTCTTGTCCCTGTCGTGCTCCACAACTGCAACTGCAGGTGTGCTGTCTCCTCATCTTCTTCCACCGTCACTTCCACATTGTCGTCCTCATCCAAGTGTACTCTCTCCCCGTGTCCAAGCACACTAGCAGTGTGGCACGCCTCGCTGATCTCCACCATTAAGAAGCGGAGCATGTGAACGAAGGCAATGGTCATGAGAGCCTGCTGGGACCTGTCAAGCGCCCTGAGGTACGCGATAATTTCATCTTGGGCTGCTTGCGATACCAGTGGCCCGCCGTCGGAGATGACCGGCGGCGGGGGCCATACATTTGTCATTCCAAGGAGGTACCGCCAAGTCTCCACCCCCTGGTCAATGTCCATGGTCGGAGCAGTTCCAGCAGCCGGGGGAGGGTCAGTAGACGACCCCGGTCTTCCCGCTACTCCACCTTCTGGTTGTTCTTGGCGATGTCGAACCCCGGGACGTAGTACCCTGGTCTCCCTCGTCACAGTCTCTCTCCGGGTCGTTTGCCGCCTTCTCCTTGTCGGTCCCTCTTCCCTGTCACACGCGTTGCTCTGTGCGTTTCGGATAGAGGCTGCGTCTCTGTCATGTGCATGCCTGGACCCGGCTCCCCATCCTCGCCCTCTTCGGTCACGACTGCGCGATCTTCGTGGTCGGCCTGGATTTGTTGTGACGAGAGAAGTCACCTCCTGGTCCTCTGGCATTCGATCCACCAAGCCAGGCCGAGCGGAAGCGCGGCGTAGGGCTTGCGGAGTACGGCTGCGGCTGCGTTCTCGGTGTTCGGCACGTTCAAGCTCATAGCCTTCCTCCGTGACGAAGCCGGCTTGGCCCCAGCGCCTCTCCTCCAGTTCAAGCCGAAGGTTTTCCATAGTTTGAGGGTGCCTGAGCTGGTGGAATTCACATCTCAGTCCTGCCACCATGTCCTGTGCCCAGTTTTCCACATTTCTCTCCGTAGGCCGAGGCATCTGGTAGGGAATCCGCGGTCCACATAGACATTGTCCAACCTGACCCTCCAACCAGGACGCCCAGATGCTGAAGCTGTCATCCCCGAAGTCTTCCACAGCCGTCCGAACCGACAAAGCCAAGACCTCCGGCTCGG